GATACCAGCAATTTTCGGTCAGCCATTTACAACTATATTCCTGATACCGACCTTAACAATATAATAACTAAACATTTAAACTTTGTACGGAATTTGAATTTAAAACCTATGAACAATCCTACTGTTCCTAATATTTATTGGTTACCTAAACTGCATAAAACACCAGTTAAATTTAGGTTTATAACAGGAGCCTCAAATAGTAGTATAAAACCCTTATCTGAAGAAATTATGCATATATTTACATTTTTTAAAAAACATTTTAGGAACTACGTAAAAATAGTTCGACTTCATAAGAATAGTCTTGAAACATATTGGTCTATCAATGATATAAACATTTCCCACCAATTGCAAACTATAACTGATCAAAAGCTACAGCTTTTCTCAGCAGATTTTACAAACATGTTTACTAATATTCCCCATTCTGTCATTCTACACAATCTTACTGAAGTAATGAAAATTTGCTTAAAAATAGTAATAGTAGATACATAACATGCAGCGACAGAACTGTTTACTATTCCAATACTGCTACTGATAAAACTGGACAAAGAAGCTATAAAATAGAAGATATCATTCATCTCCTAGAATATTTGCTTGATAATAGTTATAGCAAAATAGGACAAAACATTTTCAAACAAAAGATAGGCGTGCCACAAGGTGGCAATGCTAGCCCTGTCTTGGCAGATTTAACACTCTCCTACCTAGAATACGTATACGGCTCTAACCATCCTGGCACTGACATTTTGTTCAAACCTTTCAGATATATGGATGACCTACTGATTATTCATAACCAAAAGGAAAACCGCATTCTGAAATTACTAGATAAAACATATAATAATATTTTGGAGCTGGAAAGCACACACTTAAACAGTAGTAATTGTAACTTTCTTGACATGAAAATTATGATCAAAAATAACAGAATATACACAGAACAGTATAACAAAACTGATTACTTTGATTTTGCTGTAAATAAATATACTCATGGAAACTCTAATGTTAGTATTAAAATTAAAATAGCTATTATATACGGCGAGATCCTAAGAATCTACAGAACTTGCACAAGTTTCAATAGCTTTGAACAAAGATTATTGCTTCTGATGAATAAACTTTATGCACTTGATTATAGTGCTGATATTATTGAAAATGCATTTATAAAATGTCTCACTTTCAATAAATGTATTTTCCATAAGTATCCGGAACTTCATTCATTTAAAAACTCTAAACATTTTATAAAGTGCATAATTCAAAAACTTGATTTTTATGTCTCAGATCGTGGATCATAATTATTTTGCTCTACCCGAATGGTATATAAACCTTGAGGTATAAATACAGCAACACCCAAGGCCAAACCATTAGTCTTCCATTCAAGCCACTCTTCCCTACTGAAGAGCCTCGGGAGTGGTCTACTCTTCTTGATACCTGTATAGGGGTAGAGGCGAAACAGGCCATACTGTATATTATCAATGCTAGCATTCTTCTTTTATTTTTCGTTAGAACTTATTAAAACTTGATTTTTGTTTTTTTATGATCCATAATACATTCGTGCTCTTCGGGTGTTTCGAGAGGTCATGGGTTTCGAACTTTTTATTCAACTTTTTGATCCAAACACAATTTTGATATGTACTGAATACAACACTGATTTATTTAGAAAAGTATATGAAATGATTAAGAAGCTTTTTACAAACATTTCCAAATGAGTCTTCCCTATCTTTTCGTGCAGAACTTAAATATCAAGCTAAACTGAGAAACTGTTCCCAAGCAGGAGAACTGCACGCACTACATGTTGAATTGCAAAAAACCATAGAATTCACATCTGTTGCATGAACACGAATGAGGCAACTCGGCTATAAGAGATTTAGGATTGTCCCCATTGGCGACGATGAAGATACCGTAATCCGTAAATACTATTTGTTTGTCGTTTCTTGTTTGTTGTTTGTTGTTTATTATTCATGGTGGCTTTGTACCTTATGTTAGTAATTAGAAGCGCACCCCACGAAGATCAGCTGGACAAATTATCACAAGTTCACATCACCTTATCACTAGCTTATCCTCAGTTAAAATGACGTGCATCTACAAGTTAACACGCCTGGAGGGTACATACCGATGGATGAGTGAGGTCAGGGAGTTTTTCCATTGGGGTAAGGTTAGGTCCAAAAGTATCCTGGAGCCGAACCACAAGTCTTCCGGTTAACTAAGCACTTCTCAGCGGAATTTGCACACAAGTAGTACGAGTACACAAGTAGTATCCCGAGCAGAACTTTGAAGATAAGCAAGTCTTGGGAAGACTTCACCCTTATCTCTCGTGTCAACTCGACTGCTGCAACCCCAGTTAAAGATTTAACGCTCAAGTTGGAGGTACCATACGACCCGCGTGGCAGCCGCAAACCACTTTCACTAACCATCCAAGGCTACACGCAGTACAGTTTCTTCCAAGTGAAATTTTGCTGCTAGGACTTTCAGGGGTTAGATAATTAGCTGATTAGCCCTGCGTCGAAATTGGCTACGCGGAGCCTGACCAAGCATATTTCGGTTCCTCCCTCCAGAAGAAGTGCATGCGCTTCTCGATCGATGCTTTACATGTGCACTAGTTCGGGCGTGTTGCTCTCGTTGTTTTGGTTCTTAGAGCAAAGAAAACGTGATCATCTTTCATAGTGAGATCTCCCTTTAGAAGTATGGTTTGAGACTGACTTTTGCCCCTTAATACTGTTTGAGAATATAACCACAGCTTCGGACAGTCATAATCTAGCTTTTCACGATTTTAGTGTTCTGGTTAGAAGCTAGGCAACTCATACCTAGCTCTTAACCATAACATCGAAGTACAGCAAAAATCTCAGACTTACACGGTATATCTAAGTTCTCAGCTAATCTTTTGCACACGGAACTTAGCAGGAAGTTTAAAAAAAGGTGCACTGGAGAGAGTACAAATGTACTTTCACTTACTACGTTTCAAAAAATTATTTTAGACGGAACTGTCGAAAGCAATCATCGTTCAAATTACTACCTAATGAAGAACATGCAGATGTTTCCTTGAGTCTAGCAACACTTTGCCTGCGTAATGTATCCTGAGGGCAATTGTGACTTGAGTATTTGTTTAGGGTAATTGTGACTCAAAAGTTCGTTTAGGCTAAGTGTGACTAAAAAGTTTTCCCCCACATCCTTTTAGACCCCTTCCCCTTCCCAAGCTTGTTCTAGAAATAATACTGAGATAATGTTGCTCCCATCACGCACATTGCATGGCACGCTCGATGGTGTATTTTAATAATTTTTATTAGCCCATTTTCTGGTGAAACAGCCAAGAATTACATGAATTTTCATTCTTCACATGTCCCTTAATAAGTCAACATTCTAGCCACTCGATGTATGTTATACGACGATCCAATTACCAATTCAACTAGGAGATAGCAAGGCTAGATAGCAGCGAGAGGCCGTCCAGGTCTTTGACCTCGGTCTAGCCTGCCTTCCAATTTATTCGCCCAAGCTCTCCCTTTCATTCCATTTGTTTTATCCTATTGACTTTCCTGAAAGCATTGTATGGGCTACATCGAACTGCACGGTTTTGGCTGTCGTTATTACCGAACAGCTGTAACAGCTGGTTTTAGGCTCTAAAAATGTCAAGGTAAAACTCAGTGAACTTTGTTGATTAAGGTAGTTAGAGCAGCAGGAATTTCTTCGATAATTTGTTCAGTCAGATCAAGGTGCACAATTTGGCCGTGCTAGACTCAAGTACCCACACAACAAAACCATTTTGTCCTTTTTTTCTAATGCATTGATTGTCTAGTCCTAACAAGAGATTCTGACCGATGCAATTAACATACCATAGAAAATTGTTTCGTTGTGAATGGAGCGAGGGGGTGGGAGGGGCGAAGGATTAAAATTGAGTGGGATCGTTTTTCAGTTATAATGTCTCTTTGCATGTTGTGCGAAATAACATTTGACTTGATACTTTGCCAACCAATTAATGAGACTTTTATCAACTGTCGTGTACATTCCAATAATGAATGTTGAAAAAATAAGTGCATGAATATAAATTTTTCACAAACAAATACTATGCTGTAATTTCTCAAACTTTTCGCAAACGCGAAGACGTAAACATTTTTCCAATCAAACCCTGAGCAATGATTTTGAAGCATTTTTATAAGTTGTCCTTTTCCCCCAATGTGTAATCTTCAGGAGATATAGCATAAAACAAGATCTATTCTTCTACTGCAGATTGACGTCCCAAAAGATTCGGTTTGCATAACCGGTTTTGACAAGCGGTGATTGTAAAGAAGCAATTCACAACGAACATCGCTATCTCACGCTATGCAAGCTTTCCATCTACAATTATAAATTCACAAATTCACCATTTGTTTCCATAGCGATCGTGGAGCGAAAATTCACAAAAAAAAGTTCTTGTGGTGCTGCAGAGGTATTTGATAATTTATGCTTTTTTATAAAAATTTATCGCTTTTCTTAGTGACTTGTCGAAAATAAATTTTTTTTCTTAGGATACTGCTGCCCACTTCTGCTATATTACAGATTTAAGCAAAATCTTATCAGTCATTAATTATTTCTGCATCTCATCCTCCTGACATTCTTAACTCTAATATTCCTCAGTTCAAAAGCCCAATAAGAATGTTGAAGATAGGAATTGACTTTTGAAGCTTCTTGATCATTTCTTCCGTAAAAGTCCAATAAACATGTACGCAACATAGATTCGCAAAGATAATAACAGATTACGCCCTTTACTTTGCTATCACTGTCATTTGTCAACACTAAACTTCAGGCAAGCTTTATCGCTTTCCTCTGATGAAAGATTATTTGTGACGTTTTTAGTGACTCATGAACAGCTTTTTTATCGCTGAAAGGTAGAAAAAGGAAATTTTGATGAGTCATTTACAGGAAACAAAGTGCCGATTTTGTGTCGCATGATACCAGGCAATGCCACAGGCCCTTTTAGAAAATATCATTTCTTATTACAATGTGCATAATACGTTTCGCTGGTCACTATCTTCTCTTTCCAAATGTTTTCTCTAAACTCTCGAACATCTCAGGTAGGTGTATATTCCCCTAATCTGCAGGAACCAGAAAATAGTTGCTTTTCTGGATTCTCTCAGAATGCCTTAACAAACAAATGTCTATAATTTCTTAGTTCCATTGTGTAGGAGAGCTTATTGAACTACGATAATTATAGCTTATTCTTATTCGTTATTTATTACTTAAACATGCATAATTTCATTTATTCACAATTTATTATGTTCTTTGTCCGTAAAACCAGCTGTTCTTTACCTGTTTCGCCAAATGTGTCCGTTTTAAATCTTACTCCAAAGCAAAATATTGTGTAATATAACGATTATTTATTGATTATTCACTGTGATGATTCAAGAATCTGCGCTTGAGCAGAAAGAACCGAAAAATCGTGCCAATTATGGTACTAATTTGAGAAACAAGAATTTTTTTCACCCGTGTTATTTCCTCCAATTTTTACAATAAAAAACTCTCTGGTTGACATTTTCATATGTGTGATTTACCGCTCTCCTTACTAATTAGAATTAGAAGAATTGCTGTTATGCCTCGCTTTTCGATTTTCCACAACGATTTTAGACGCTAATTATCGAATCAGCACTGCCAAACTTGTGTGAGAACTGAAACCATCAAAAGTGCATAGTTTAACATCAATACTCTACAACTGTCGTTTTCCTTTTGCTGTCCTAATTGATGTAAGTTTGACGACATTTTATCGTCACATGCTTGACCCTGAACTCAATAGTACAGGTTAACTGCTGACCTCTGGGCATTTTCTATCGAATGGAGAAGAAATTCGGTCTACAGCCAGCAATTCTTCCTTCTTTATTCTTTCTCAATGCCCCATATTTTATTCTTTAGGAAGTCTTGAATTAGCTTATGAATGATGAAGTCTTACTTCCCCATTCTACGTTTGGGTAAGACACACCAAAAAAATGACATTGTACTCACATTGCTGAATTATTCAAATATTTGTACCCCTCTATAGCACATTCTTTATAGCCTTCATTTTCCACTGACTAAATTCTGCCAACTATGGTTAAAAAATGTAAGTATCAAATTCGAAAAAGGCTGTAAAATGAGATGCATTGATTTATTTGCTGGAGGAGACACATTTCCACAGAATGACATCAGAAAGATAAACTTTCTACATGTTTGTTCTCAAATAAAACGTGTTATCTTCTAGCATAGAACAAATATGCGGATGATGTCATTCATTTTCCGGCAGCGCCCAAATGTAGCCATTGCTTTTGTAGGTTTTTCTGACCATTAAACTGATTAAAACCTTTAAATCACATAAACTCTTTAATTTAATAGAGTTGACTTTTGGCACTGTTAGATGTAATTCAATGACATTTAGGAATTTACGAAAAGTCAAAAAGGCTCCATTTTCAAGCTCTCCACAATCACGCCCGAAAGAAGTCATCTGCGCGACCAGCGCGCCAGTTAGTCTTCGTGTGCACAGACTCAATTAAATCTGAGATTTTGCACTTTTTGGGTAGCGGGATATTGCTTGCATGAATGAAAAAATGGTTTCTGCATGAGCGATGAGCCTATTCATGCTGGAAGAAGACGCTTTCGTATTCCTATGTTAGTGCAATGGCGTAAAACTGCGGTCCTTGCGCATAGTTTGACGTATGATTATTTTAAACGATAGCATAATTGATATATCATTATCGAGGTTTGCGTTTGTGGTTCGTAGATTCTGGATTGAAGTAACACTCGTATTGGCAAACTGTGGATTTTCCCAAAATTTTCTGCACTCTTCTGGATCTCATGGTTCATTGTTTGCGTACATTGTCAACGTACAAATCTGATTTTGAGCAGTTTGGAATTTGAATCGATCTCATTTTTATAGCTGGCGATGCGGGGTTTTTGGGATGAATACTTTTGGCTGCCGGAAAACACGTCATGGACTGATATGACGAATACAGATAAAATTAGCTATCCGCAAGTAACTGACCTCCGATACACTGTGATTTTTGGTTTTGGTTTGCTGGTGAGTTCTGATTAACTTGTAAATTCATATTCTTATTTATTTATGTCAGGTCTTACGGGTTCTTCTGGAATCATTTGTCTTCCTGCCTTTGGGCTGGATAGGTGGCTGGATCTCTTCTCCTCTTCTACCTCGAATATGGAGTCATCTTACAGGTAAAAATAGCTATAATGAAGTTGATTTTTATTAACATCTGTGTTCAAGGTGGTTTCGCTGGAAAAAGCAAATTCAAAAGGGTCGCTGAATGTGGTTGGCGTCTCAGCTTCTACGTTTGCGCTTGGATAGCAGGGTAAGGATTTCTCTGGCTTTTTATTTTTACTACTGATCGAATCACTCTTTAGTTTGACGATATTAATGGGAGAGCCACAACTAAAGGACGTATCTGAATGTTGGCGGGGTTGGCCTCATCATAATCTAACGACAGCAGTTTGGTGGTACTATATATTGGAGGCCTCTTTCTACTGGGCATTGTTTATTGGGTTCGTGAGAATTTGTACATCCAGCAGTCTTTTTGCGAGAATCTTCTTTGCATTGCATTCTTTTCAGAACACTTTGTGTCGATGTTCGCAGAGCAGACTTCTTGCAAATGTTGCTGCATCATGGAATCACTATTTTGTTACTTTACTTAAGCTGGTCTATGAATATGGTCCGTGTTGGTACACTGGTGCTTTTCGTTCATGATGCTGCAGATATCTTGATGTTAGTAATTTTTTATGCTTTTGCCATAGCTTACTCAAACGTGGATGATGCAGAGAAACAGCGAAGATTGCCCGATACGCTAGATGGGAGACAACGCTGAACGTCATATTTGTGATATTTCTTGCCGTATGGACCGGCACGCGCCTCGTCTACTACCCATTCTGGATTATGCGATCAATCTGGTTCGACGCTCCGGAAATGATTCAGGTGGTGTGATTTTAGGTACTGTGTAGGTATTTGAGATGCTAACTTCACTAGATAAAGGAGTAGTACGCATATCATTTTTTCTTTTCTTGTTTCAGTCGTCTTATCGCTGGACAAACTTATGGCAACGGCCCTTGGTACCCAGAGTGTTGATGGTAATGCTCTCCGCACTCCTTGTACTTCACGTGTTCTGGACTTACGTTATACTAAAAGTAAGTTGTCATTCATTAACTTTTTTCTTTGTAACATATAGGGCTACATGTTCTGTTTTGTTCTGTATATGGAATGATGTGTCCACAGGTTGCATACAAGTCTCTGACAGAAGGTGAAGTCGACGATGTTAGAGAAGAAAGCGATTCGGAAGAAGATGACAAAGTCAAAAAACAATAGAAAAGTAGTAATAATACAAGAAAGTCAGGACCAGCAGAGCCAGGTTTGATGACTAACTTGAATGAATTATCGCTATCTTGTCTTCAATTATGCAAATGTTTTGCCCATTTTCATATGTTCTATTCACGTCTACAATGATGACTAGATACTTCAGGCTTTTTATTGTAAATTATATGACGTTAGCTATAGTATCTAAAGGCGAGAGCCAAAACTATTCATCCTATCAGCTGCTTAATTCCAGTACTTCTACCTCTGATCAACCGCACTTAATCTTGACTGTTTTAGCTTGATTGTATTTATAATCGTCAAATCAGAGTCATTAACTTACTTTGTCATAATATAAATTTGTAACGGGTTCTCAGAATCCTCCTTGTTATACATTTGTTTCACTCTTTACTGCTTCTTTGTTGTTGAATTGTGAAGAGCTGAAGCTGTTTTAAGCCACCGTTACTACATGACTGCCATCTCTTGCATTTCATGTGTCTCAGATAAACTACAACACTTGATGTTAAGGGTTTTAATTACATTATTCAAACAAACGATGACAACATAACAGTAACAACGTTGAAATATGACCGGCTTACTTTCGAGGTGTTCTGGTCGGCAAATCTACCGATGCTATTGTTTTACGCGAAAGGCGAATCTGGCCCGTATCCGCATCACGTCCCAGCCATTGTACTGTGGTTTTCTGTCCGACCTTCAAGATGAGTAGGTTCGCAAAAATCAAATCGCTACAGTATGAGGACCAACCTGAAGTCCACTGGCGGAAGAGTGTCGTATAGGAACGGAATGCAGCTGTGAATTGGGGACAAAAATTGGACGACCCCCACCGGCAAGCTTGAGCATGGCTCCCCTTTCCAGAAGTTCAACAACTTCAGCGGTGACCATCTGACCAAATGCAAACTCGGGTTCATCTGTTTCGGACAGGAGTCTGTAGGAAATAAGTGGGAAACACGTTCAACTTCCAATAAAGTTCAGACTCACTTTTTCATCAGCTCTTTTGCCTTTTCAAGTCGCTCCTTGTTGGGTGCAAACAAACTAATGTGAGCCTCGTCCTCTTGGGAGATCTGAAAGTGCAGGTAACCTCCAAAAAAGCTCTAATTAAACCAACCAGCAAAATAGGTGTTTTATCCAACTTTAAGTGTAAGTATAGAATACCTTAACGCCAGTCTCGGCTTCAACAGTCTTAGCATGCATCCCACCAGCACGGAACAGCGCTTGCCTTTTGTATGCATCTAATCGCATCTGCTCAATAACTGGTACTGTTGGCTTGAATTCTGCGCTGAAATAGTTTGGTTAGACAGAATAAACCTATTGGCGATTGCTATACTACCGTGGCCTATCCAGTATGACACTCATTTTATCCAAAACATAGTTGATTCCTATAGTAGCGTTGTCAAATGCTTCTTTGAGTTGTTCCCAAGTCAAACCAGGTATCTTCACGTCAAGCTGCATTGCCGTAAATCCCTTAGATGAGCCTGACGAGTTCGTTTTCAAATTGCTGACATCTTATAAATTCAGAAATTACCTGCAATCTTGAAATCCATATCTCCTGCATAATCTTCTATACCCGAAATATCTGTGAGCACTTTGTGGGGTTTTTGCGATCTACAACATGTACATATGACAATTAGTCGTAAGCTTGTAGCAAACTCACTCCTTATCAGTAATTAATCCTATAGCCACACCAGCAACCGATGCCGAAATTGGAACACCAGCGTCTAGCAAGGCCAAGCTACCTCCACATGCGGAGGCCATCGAAGAAGAGCCGTTGGATTCCAAGACCTCTAATGAGGAGAATACATTGGAAAAGTCAGAGATGTAGCATTTTACGAATTGTGTTCTAACCTGACAAGCCAGACGGATGCTATATGGGAACTGCTTAGGAACTACATGTTTCAGCGCCTTTTCTGCCAGCGCACCGTGTCCCAACTCCCTCCGATTTGCGCCTCGAGAAGACTGGAATAAAGAAATATGAGCGGAAAGAGTTATCATTACTCCGGAACTCACTGAGATCTCATTTGTAGCATAACTAGGAAATTCATAATGCAACATGAACATCTTTTTCCGTTGACTACCTAACAGCTGTGATATAGAATCTGAATGAAAAGCTGCAGCTGGACTGTCAAATGTGACGGTAGACATTACCTGAAATATTGCATGATCATATGGAGAAAGAACCAAGTATCGAATTGACTCACTTGAGTCTGTCCTCTCTGAAACAAGGAGGAACCGTGTAGACGTTTGAAAACATCTACGCTTATAGTTATCGGCCGAAAATCGTTTAGCCCACGTCCATCACATCGCATATTGTTGTCGAGTATAAGGTCTCTGCAAAATAACATCATGGAAGAACTTAGCAGCGGTTAGAGAGACAGCTTCTTATCAGATAAAACTGACCGCAACGCTTTCTTCGTAAGAAAGCGATATATTGACTGGATCAAGGCGGGGTCACCGTCTGGTATAGAAGTGACCACATCCTTACCTACTTCCTAAACAAAATTTCCATCAATAGAATAGAAGCAGGAGAGTCATACCTTTATCGCTTCATCGCGAGAAATCTTGTCATGCGTTGGATCAGTAAGGATATAATACAAACGCTCCTCACACAGAGCGCGCACTTCATCTAGCAGATCGTCCGGAAATTGTGACTGCGTGAACTGTAAGGAAGTAAAAAAAGTGAGAAAGTACTAAACATGTGAACAAATTTTACCGTAGCTTTTTCTTTTCCACTCTGAGCTCGTAACTCATTCATAGCTTCCAAAAGCTTACTTGTCGCATCTAAGCCCTGGTCGATAGCCTCTTCTACCCTATCTACTGGCACTTGCTGAAAAGTCAGACAGTGAGTGGAGTATGTGTAACAACAAGTATAGCTTACATCTCCATCCATTTCAATCATTACAGTTCTTCGATCCCCACATCCTGTCAAAAGCAGGTCAAGGCTAGACTCTTTCATCAGTGACCGGGTAGGATTGAGAACTATCTAAACGCAAATACACAACCGGTAGGTTTTAATAATGAATGTCTAGTAGAATGCGTTCTCGAAACTTGACATCCAACATCACATTATAAACAACCTTGTCCCCAACAAGTGCGATTCGAACAGCAGCGGCAGGGCCTAACCAAGGGACGGCAGAGACATGGAGGGCTGAAGCGGCAGCATTCAGACCAAGTAACACAACATCTCCCTCGTCATCTATAGCCAAAGGCTTTACAACAATCTAGAGAAGAAAACTGAGTTTTTTTATGATCAATTAATCACACTATTAATCTGAACAAAATTTACCTGAGTTTCACTGTTCCAACCTTGAGGAAAGAGCGGTCGGAGAGATCGGTCAATGACTCGCGACGCTAGGATATCGGCGTCGGTTTGACCAAGTTCACGTCGCAAATAGTTCGTCGGTATTTTCCCAACTGCGGCTGCACTTTGTTTAAAATCTACCAGTAGTGGGACAAAATCTTGCCCCGGCTGGCTTTCGCTCGATGATGGGCGAAAGACGCACGTGCTGAGAACCTAAGGATGTCGAAGATTTACTCACCACCGCCACTATGACGAAGAAAACCATACCGCGCTTTCCAGAACGGAAGCGACAACAGCACCAGAAGCAAACCTCGCCATGTGACCTGAACAATAGCTAATTCTCGTAAGCTAATTTCCCTGGATGATATCCAGTCCAAATATGGCGCTAAGTTATGGCTAAGAGAAGTACATGCCGCTATGAAGCATACATTGAATTTAAAAAATTTCGTCTTAATGCTTCATGATATCACGTCCTCAGCATGCCTTCACGAGTACAACAACAAGTTGATTTCGGTGATCATGTTAGAATCCGTAGTTTGCTCAGATAGTCAGCAGATACTTCAGGATACTTCAGGTGATACGACCAAGCATCGATGATATTACGGTATTGGCCCCACAAGACTACGGTAACTAAATTATGCAATATGCGCGCGGCAATTTGCCGCAATTAGTAATGGTACAGTAGGCTAGTATTTAAGGATAAGGTTAGTGTCCTTGCGGTGCGTGCCTACACTCGCCGACAACATTTGCGCGTGTAAAAATGGGACTAGGGAACGTCAAACCTGAAATGCGTCTCTTGCACGCGCAAATCATCGGCATTACCAGGTATCACTCTGCTTACGCACGAAGCCACCGCAAGGATACCATATTGACCGTTAGTAATAGTCTATATGTACACCGCGACGGTATCCACAAAAGACAGAATGTACAACAGCCTTACCTGTTGTAAGCGTTAATGGTCCCGCATCACCAATCTGGACGGCAACAGAGTGCTTCAAACGTCTTGTAAACAAACTGAATTGCGAAAGTCTAAATGGGATGAAGGCGAATTGCGTAAACTCACCCAACATTATGTATGCGCGGAAGAGAAAGTAATGCTCTGTACATTATGGGCATGTTTTTCTGCTCAAAGCGGATTGCGATGAAAGAATATCTTTCAATTCTGCAAGATTCATTGCGGACGAATCTCCATACAACAGCTCTCACGTACCTTCAACTCTCCATGGATTGGTTTGTTATTAAAGTACACAATAGCAATGTTTCATGAAGCCGTGCCACGCAACAACTCTGAGAACGCGGAAAATGAAACACGTTGTTACACACGTGAAAAAAACACGCACACATTACCAATGTCGATCGTAGTGTACATTCTCTAGTTAGTGTTATTCGCGCATACCTATACTAACTATCTGCTTTACAATTTTACAGCTATGAGAAACCATGCCCAGAAGATCACCAACGAACTAAAACTTATTTACTAGGCTATCAAACGGATTCACTCAAGTAACCTTGCACTATCTCTTACAGATGTGATGGATCGCATCAACAGTTTTGAGTGCGCTGACCAGAACAATATGTAGCACTTCCCTGACCCCCAAATTTACAACAAATGATTCTTCACAGTTGCAGTTATCTGCACTACTTACTAACTAATGTAGTTGACCCCTCAAACAAGCAGTCTGTGTTATCGAAGTCCTGTGTTAGCAAACATAGTCAACTAAGAGATGTATGGCGTTGACCAGAAAAATTTTCCTGCGATACTGAAAAACTACTTCATTGGCTTAATAGAACAAAATGTAACAGTTAACACGTTTAATTTCTAAATACACGTCAACAAACTAGACCAAAAACACGAACTTCATGAGGACAATTCACATTTTACACTGTGAAGTAATCACCAAATAAGGCTCTCCGAAAATATCGCAGCTTCAACAAGTGTGATCATGACAACAAATTTATACGATGCAGTTTTCTAACAGAATTTAAAGTTCGGGAGAGATTTTGAATACAACAAACCCATGAGCAGTATGAAATTTACATCGAAGAATGTATATAATCAAAGTAGATTTGCAACGGAATGGCGACATCCTTGATATGTAGGATTAGACACTGGCGTATCCCTGACGCTTTGCACGAGCTCTTCCAATGAGGTAGGCGACAAGCACAATGACAACGAGGCCGGCCAAGCAGGCTCCGACAACGATCGGCACGATGTCGGAAGTGCGCGAGTCGAGGAGACACTGCTCGAAGACTGAATAGAACTCTTTTGGGAACAGTGACCAGATAAATGCTGTATCACTTCGGATAACAACTGGTATCTGTGCTAGATATCTATAACCACTGCTTTTCAAAACACTACGTCAAGAAAAGCCTTTCTAACGCTGGGCATACTGATGCGAAGGTTCCGGAACAGTTTCAGCACTGGCACAATTGAGCGCTGCCCAGAACTGTTCCGGAACTTACGGATCAGTTTGAACCCAGCCTAAAAATCCCTAAGACTAGCTCGGTTTTGATGCGAGGACGCAGGATATTGCATGTAGAAAACTCCAGCAAACATTACCAACATGATTGAAAAAATTAGCCAATTAGTGCAGATGTCTATTAAAGAGAAAACATATAGCAAAAAGAACTGACTCTGTTGTTTGGGGAACTGCGGTTGGTCCAAGTGTGCGAAAGCAAGCACATTGACGTTCTTCAGATCAATCGTAGAACTGTTTGACAATGGAAGATCGCTGTTCGAGCACTAAAACAAAATCAGACAATCATCCTTCTTCAAAATAAACTGAACTGACTCACTTTAAAAGCATTTTTATCATGTCCCTGGAAGTCTACTTGTCCGTCAGCCTTTTTGAATTTGTCTGAAAGTGCATGATGAATAAATCACTTTCTTAATCCAACTATAAAAAACATACAGATCGATGATGCATTGACTCCCCAGACTGGTGCCGTAGTGAGAGAATAGTCAAGCAGCTCGAAAGCAGCCACTTTTTCATCTGATCCAAAAATGAATTCCAACTCCCATGGCTGAGCTGCGATTGCGGGAGTGTTGTTTCCAGCGGGGAAGAAGCTCACCTAGAGATAATATTTAAGTACTACAGAGACAATGACGATGACCACTTAACTACAATACATATCACTTATTAAGAAGTTTTGTAGATACGCTGCGTAATAACAAAACTATTATTTGAGACAGAACACTCGCAAAAACACTCACTTTGAGAGACTGAGCAGTTCGATTCCCGTATATGTCTTGACATTTACCAGTAACTTCATGGGTACCGTTGATTGATGCGGTGTAGGTCTCGACGGTACCATTCTAGAAATACAAGTCTGAATTCTTTCGAGCCAACTCTATATACCCGACAAAAACATGACTAGCTTATAAAAGAAATTGCTGCCTGAGCGCCCCTAGCCGATAGCTGCATCTTACTGTTTGACCTAGGCTGTACGGAACAGAAATAGTCGGGAAAGCTAAGGCAGGCTTCGGACCATGCTCGATCCCGCCGGAACGCGCCCAAAACCGCCAAATGAGCGGTGCTATTCCACATAAGTTGACCCAAAAAGTGAAAATCGTGAATTTCACTAAAACTTCGTCTAGGGAGGTTATTTGGTACGCTGAACACGAATATGATGTTTATTTCGTGTGACAGCGCCATCCGGTGGAGTTAAGGTAGGATTACGGTAAGGGGTCGAAATCACGGATTTACCCGAAGCTTGGCCCAGAGGGGTTATTCGGCCCGCTGACGCCGAATATCACATTGGTTTCGTACTGTAGCGTCATTTTCTCGAGTTACGGTCCGTACACGGTAGGGGGTCAAAATCTCAAAATCCGCTGTAACTTTGCACAGAGGGGTTATTCGACATGCTGATTAGAAATGTCACACTTTCTCCGCACGAAAACGTCTCCCTGCATGGTTACATTAGGTTTACGGTAGGGGTCAAAATCACAAATCAGCAAATGTATTTTCCCCTGTGCTTTGCTTAGGCAAAAGCCGCAGCAGGGTGCGTAGCGCGCGGCGATGGTCATGTGTACAAAGGTTCACGATCGTTCGAATCGCCGTTTCAGGCAGAACTATGTTTTATACCCGTTACCGTGTAGCCTACCGTAACCCGAGAAAATGACGCTACGGTTCAAAACCAATGTGATATTTGGCATCAGAAGGCCGAATAACCCCTCTGGACCAAATTTCGGGCAAATCCGGGATTCTGACCCCCTACCGTAGTTCTATCGTAACTCCACCGGATGGCGCTGTCGCACGAAATAAACATCATATTCGTGTTCAGCATACCGAATAACCCCCCTAGACAAAGTTTTAGCGAAATTCACGATTTTCATTTTTTGGGTCAACTTATGTGGAATACTACCAAATGAGCATAGGTAACAGTGGAAATGCCCGAATGTCTTCTTGAAGCACACATAAATTACCACACATTGTACAATGCACATATAAGTTATACAGTTCGACTGCATCTCATTTGCATGTACATCTTTTCAGGAGGGTTCCAACGAATACAGCGGGTTCACGCGCGCTGCGGCGGGTGTCGGCGGATTCCAGCGCATCCACAGCCTGCCTGACATTAATTTCGAAATTTCCGAAGTTTTTACAGAAGGCTTTGCGGGGTTCAATGCGATTCGAAGTACTGATTGTTTGCATATAGTGAACTTCTGCAAAGCAAATGTTGCGACCATTTTCAATGAATGGTACATGTACCGGACCGACATATAAATCGCTTCCTGTAGCCTTCAATAGGAACAAAAGAGCCGCCAACTCAAGTTCAAATAGATTCAAATTACTATTGGAAGCTGATCTCTTGACCATCGAATGTAAATGTTAGATGCAATTTGGCAAGCAAATGTGAACTGAAAGTTCAGATCGCTCCCACTACCTACATGCTTTACGGAAGGACCCTCATTCTTCAAAAAAAACCTTACTAATGCGGTGAATTTCACAGTCATCGAAACGTTCTCTGCATCCAGAATAATACAATACAACTTCCTGTCGGCGTCATATACAGTCCAGTGCTCAGCAAATGCCATGGCGAAAATTGCTGGAAAACAAATCAAGTAGTCATTTGATGCATACACTTTACACATTGCCTCTCACCCACTAATGCAATATAGCGAGACATCGTCCTTCTTCCTACTTTTCCGTTGGAAATCCTGAAAAACAAGGATGAATACGCTTTGATTATTCATACGATCCCGTGTTCCTAATGCGAAAATGTTTTTGTGTGAGTCAGAACATTCTAGGGTAAATGGAGAGATATACAGTGATTCAATCAATAGGTGACGTGACATGAAACGTGAGACTAAGTAATTTGATAGGAAGAAATAACAAAATTTGTGTGCTATAAGCTTCGTTATAGCAGAACTGACGACCAAACATTTACATCAGTGGATAGAGAGCACCCCAAGGGTGATAAGCATACACGGAGATAAGCGGTCTCGAAATGATAGCTGATTAGGAGCATCTAGCCGATCACATCAATAAAACAAAAGGGTCTGTGGTGATTTGGTGCACAGAAGCAGGAAATAGAGCAAACTGAACGATGCTGAACTCTGAACAGTACATGCAGGGATGATGACAATGATTCATGCGAATAAACAATCGGATTTGACAGTCTAAAGATCAACACCATACTGTGAAACCAGGTAAAGTACCACTGATTGATCTAGAGCTTAAAATGATATGGAGATCTTCGGAATCCGTGAATTAGGATCCGAAAATCGATCAATGCGTGCTGAACCAACCGTCATTGTTTACATGAATGAAGGAGTCAAGTGATGGTGCGACTCGCAGCTTAAACAACAGATTTTTCTTTCGTGACATGAGAATTCTTATGCTCAGAAATGTTCACAAAGTAGAAAATGTGCGACTGCCAAAAGTCAGCTAAAAACCAAGTTTTGACAAATCGTTTATGATGCCATCTTGAATGTTAATCAACTGAAGTACCTGAAGTACTTTCGAAGCATTTGCAAAAGATATTTCACTGGAACGTAAAAAATCAGTTGCCATACATCAAGGTAACATCATTGTTGGAGATTGAAGATACCGAACCGTAACGAATGAAGGTACTCTAACGATTTTTCTCGATTCGGCTAAAATTTTTGTACGATAATAGAGGTAAATGTCAATCAGTGCAAAAGTAACTTGGAAGTAATGGTAATGGTTGTTTACATAGCGCACCCAGCTGCGGCGAAAACTGATTTCGTGCAAGTGAGACATCAACAAGCAGGTTTTCGATCAGAAACCACCTGCATCCATGCCATTAGCTGCAACCATCGAGTGCAAATCTAAGGGTTGCAGCACTTATCCTCATTTAAAAGGTTGGTTTCAAAATAACGCAACAAAAACTTCATATGTAGAAGTTGAGAAAGATATTGTTACTGATCAATGATGCGGCAGAAACTATGTGAAAGACTGACATTTCTTCCAAATGACACAATAGCTGAGCATTTACACAGTGACTCAGCAAATTTGAAGGGTTTTGCAACAGTGACAATCCTTGATGAGAGATACAAACATCAAGTAAAGATTTAACCATTTAGAGTCAGCTTACTGTTGAAGATGAGCAGAAGATGAAGTTTACGACCTCTAGTTGTGAAATAGTACGGCGTTGAATTCTGCAGAATAGGCGGGCCGGTACACTCAACACGCGCTCGTCAGCGCCGATTGGCACATGTTTTGGTACCGAGTCGAAATGTGATATGAAACCGTCATTGAAAACTCCCGAGCTTTTTGTTCTCGCCAAGTGTGGTCTATCGTTGCGTTGTTATTCTGTACATCCACTGTCCTTTCCCGTGTCAGGCTCGTGATATTTCGATTTAGAAAAACGGGACAGACGGAAGAACTCCGACTGCAGAGATGATAATGGATGTCGAAAGCATTCTTGATGAACGCGTCGACCAGTACGATTTGGAGGTATGTACATCCTCGACTTTTTTGAATTTTTGGCTTGCGAGTCTTAGAGTCGTGGCGGAAATAAACAAATCGCATAACATCACAAGCTCTATTGAACGATCTCGCAGGCAACCAAACATCTAGCCTTCATATCTATCTAATATACCATTTCTTATGTAAAAGTACTAAAGCCCTTCTCTAGTCCGCTCAATATTTTAAGGCTAGAGTGTATCAAATTCTGCGATTGCTCTTTGTCTTGCCCCACAAAATGAAACCAGTTTCGAGACTTTGGCAAACACGGCGTTTGTTAACTATTATCGATTGTATAGACTGTTGTATTGTTGAATTTTGCGAAATACATTTAACATTCGTACGAACGGCGCAAACATGTTTTGTTGCATAAGTTTGGTTATGATTATGATTCATCAAGTCATGTAGAGGGCTTCTCTTTGGCACTTGCACTAAAGGCTGAGCAGCGTTCAGTTAGTAAACCAATACTTCAAGGGGCATTGATTTTTGACCAAAATATGCACTTCGTGGTATTTGTACAGATTACATCTGGGTTTGCAGAGACATTATGCACGAAAATAGATTCAGCTATGAAGAGGGAAGCATATAGTTGAATGAGATCCGTTCACAGAAATCTTCAATTCGGACGAAAAAAACATTGCTGACTCACATCCATGAATCATTTTCAAACATTATTGTTGCAACGGAACGCGTTCCATTTGTCACACTTTGTGTCACCAAGGATTTCTACTTTCACTGTACGTCTTTTTTCTCTCAGAGATTCCGTGAGGCTTACGAAACACAGTGTCGACGAGGGCCTCCCAGTGCTTTAGCTACTTTCAACTACGGAACTGCGCTCATACGCTCGACTAAGCAAGACGTCGCGGAGGGAATTAACCTTTTAGAAAGTAGGTTTTTTGTAGTTTGACGCAGTCTAGTCCTTTGTTTTTTCTCAGCAGTACATACTGATTAAATAGATATGGGATTGGTGCAGTATCACCACCACTAGGGATACGGCACCTTTTTGGAATCACTTCAAATCAGGCTATAAGAACATGGTCCCTCCATATGTGACCTTCATATTCATGTGAAAGGAGACTCTTATATATAGCTTCTGCATACCTAAAGAATCCTAGAGAGACCGCCATCATCGTATCATGTTATATAAGGGTACCGCAAATGTGTTTTCTGCAGTAAAGTGATTGATTAACATATTCTATGTTTTTCAGCACCATCATGGGTTTTTTTTTTTACATTGTCACTTCTAAGGTTTTTGGTAAGGTATTTGCAAGGTTTTTGAGGCATCTAGTACAATAAAGTTTGCTTTGCCCAAACTATTTCGTTCAAAATTTGATAAAATCGATGCGAATGTGTCCGGCCAGCAAGGCATTTCGTACTTTAGTCTATTTTAACAATTGAATATTGCTCACTGTTTCAATTCTACCTTTTAGAGCTCCTGAGAGAGGAACCTGACGATGTGAACAAAAGGGATTATGTCTACTTTCTCGCTTTGGCAAATGCTCGCATGAGGGTGAGACGTCTATGTCTTGCAGGGACGTTGCTTGTATTATATTCTAATCATTCAAGAATTATGACCGAGCTCTGGCATACATCGACATCCTGCTAGCTGCAGAGACGCACAACAGACAGGCTTCGCAACTTCGTGATATTATCGAAAAGAGAATGAAAAAGGGTATGCTTCGCCATTATTGCGATTATAGAGTTCTTAATGACTTCTTCTCCAGATGGACTGCTTGGCCTTGCTGTAATTGGTGGCGGTGCTTTGCTCGTTACGGGCATCGTTGCTGCGTTGTTCTCAGCAAGAAGATAAACTTGCGATCATCGTATAAGAGCGGGATTTCCTACTTCTATTCCAAGTATTCTCGATGTATATATTTATGCATGCGTTGTTTGTGGTCTTTAGCATTGCTTCTGTGTCACCTTAGCTGCCCACAGAGTTGTAAATCTTCGGCTTTACCCTCGGTTCCGGTTTCTGGTTGCATGTTTTCCGTATACAGCGTTTTCAGGTGAACTTAATCGTTTTTAAATATGTGTCGTGATAGTATTATTCGAAATGAGTAGTCATGTAAATTATAAATCAGTAGATTTTTGAGTTGTGGAGAATAAAGTATTATTCGGGTAACTAGTGCTTGCTAATGAGATACCAAACGAATGAGAGTTAAGACGGAGGAACGTAGGAAGTAACTCGCTTATTATTACCGAAGTTTGCAGACATCGAAGCTGCGTTGTTCTTGCCATGTACAGCTTTGCTCATGCTCAACACAGAAGTTCGTGGAACGATCACTTTTATGTAATCGGAGAGAAGCACGCTTAATACACAAACACCATTATGCACATCTATGAGTATAATCGCTGGATTATGTGCAAATGTCAGCTCCCAGATTCTCTATATTGGCAGCGAGAGGCATCACGGTCACAGTACCGGGGCCGGGGAACGATTTCATTTCAATGAACAATTGAGAATGGCTGCACCCAACAGCTATTCTCATAGAAAATCAACTGTCGCTCAACGGTTCCGGTGTTGCTCTGACCGCGCGTCTCAGTTTTGAAAGCGGATTCGAGAGAAAACAATCTACGTATCAAATAAAAATACATGTGAGTTGACTAGAATGTAAGCATTAGCGCATATGACAATCAGCAACATTATGATCTGTTCAAAAAGAGACATCAATAATACACAACCTTTCGGATTAAATAAACAGATCTGTTGCAGTTTGAGCGACTTACGTACGCGGAAGATTTTCAGTGACCCATATGTCGTTATGTGAGACGAGCGAGGAGTTGAAACAGTAAAATAAATGATGATACGGAATAAAAAGTGTTTGTCTCGACAAACAATAAATGCAGGTGAAACTGAAACTCAAAAAAGACTTTCCACCACTTAAGCAGCTTACATTTTCAACAGGATACGATCATGCGTTTGCAAATTCAATATATTTCTGTACAGCTAGATTATTTACACAAAAGGATTCCAATTCTGATTGCTTTGCTGGTGAGGCGTTTCGCTTACACTTCGCATGGGATCCGCACCGTAGTATGGCTAAAATGGAAACTACATCAGCTCAATTGAAGAAATGAAAATATACCAGAATACCTTAGCTACTCCAGGCGAGAAGGGGTTGTTCCATGGGTTTGGTGCTTGAGGATATCGCGGCGCGTTCGTAGCCATGAAGTTTCCAGGGGGTGCAGTGGTGCTTCCGAAAGACTGCACAAGAAATGGATTCGGTGCCAGGTTTGCTGAAGTAAGTTTGCTTGGAAAAATGATACATGGATGATGATGGCGTCTGTATCGGATCATCCTAGCGACCACTTAACCCAGAGTTCGGATAGGAAATTAATAAGAAGTACATTGCAACTGACATTTCAACCACTGCAATTCTTGGTAAAATTGATAGCTTATGCAAAACGGCCCCTTGACGAGAGTAAAAAGTGCACTTACCAAATGAATTCGAAAACGCCTGTTGTTGTATATTGTCAAATGACACGGGGTTTGGAGGGATGGGGGTTGCTCCAACTTCAGCTATTGCTCCAAATGTGTTACTTTTAGGGATGGAGCCGTACGGGTTAGAAGCAATCTTTGGCTGTGAGTCGAAGGCGGGTGTGTGATGAGAAGGAGGAAGTCCAGTAGAGAAACCTAGAACAGCAACAGTTGAAGCAAAACACCACGCTTTTGAGTGGATTTGTAGCTGTTTCTACATGATCACAAAAAAGAGCACCACATAAAGATCCATGTAAAACAAGCAAAACAAGTTATTGAAGAAAATGGTGCAGCTGATAAATGCACTATTTAGTTATCAGAAGAATGCACTATTTAGTTATCAGAAGCCAGGCATACTTATAAGAGATGAAGTATATAGCTTATGAACAGATTGCGGAAAAAGACGAACCGCTGGGTAACCACGCTGGTTTATCTCCGCTAGGAAGACTAGGATTGCTCCCGTGATGGAACATCTGAAAATAAAAAAGTCAAATTTAGGAACCACATCTCAATAGTAAGAAATGACCTCAATAGTAAGGAGTAAATTACGCTTGCATTAGTGATTATCAAATTTCGGACAAATATTGTCTGTACTCTAATAAATTAGGGCCGCATGCATTCACATCCCGCCGCGGAAGGGAGCGCAGCTTAGAAAGAAGCTTTATATCCTGAAGCTCCAGAAATCTGAATTTCACGCTGTCTATCTAGCCAAAAGTATTCCTACATTCTTCAGTATGAACATAGAGAAGCTGTACAAGCTGCATTTTCCAGCTTTTGTGTGATCCCCTGATGATCCCCAGAGGCCGACCTCTTTTCTGCAGAGTCATTTTTCTTTCTTCGAAGTTAATGGAAACATTTCAAGTTCTACGAATTATCTAACCCAACAATGCTAAGCTTGTTGCTGATAAGAACAAGTGATAGAGTCATGAAATTTTCGATGAACCCAAGTCGAAAGTTGGAGTTTATCAAAAAAAATAAGATATTTCGAAAACTCATTCGTTCTTACCAGTAACATGCTTACACTGTTGGGTTAGATAATCAGTACAACTTCGGAAGATTTTCGTTGACTTCGAAGAAAGAAAAATGACTCTACGGAAAAAAGGTCGACCGCCAAGGATCATCAGGGGATCATACAAAAAGCCAGAAAATGCGGCTTGTACAACTTCTCGTTCTTTTTCAATATGTTCATAGTGAATGATAGTAGGAATACTTTCTAGGTAGACAGCGTGAAATCCAGATATGCGGAGCTTCAGGTATGAAACTTTCTTTTGAGCTGCAATCCTCTCCCCTGTGGGGATGTTGATGCATAAGGCCCTCAATGACGATAACGTCATAGTTTGACAGCATAAACTGAGATGAAAAAACCAAGCACTAATTTACAGTGGTTACCTGATCTAATTCCGCTAATGCACTGTATTTGTCAGCGTCGTTTGAAGTACTGCAAATTGGAACAGGATCCGATTTCGGTTGAGTGTTGAGCGGTTGCGCCATAGGTGGCATCTGCCGTTACCTCATCAGAATGCTGGCAAAGAGCTTAATTCAAGTTCACACCTCATTTTTGAACGGATTCGTCGGTTGGGCGGAAGCGGGAAGCTGCGTATGCAATGCAGAATTTACAGTAGCTGATTTCGGAAGTGGTTGGGCTGAATGCAGAGTTAAAAATCGCACGCCGGTTATACTGGCATGTGAAACACTGTACACTAATTGTAAATTGATTCTCGCTAATTTCATACACATCAAAATTATTCTAGCGCATTGGCTACTGGCAACATGGAGAATCAAATAACTTGAAAAATCGAAAAAGATATCTGTCAAAGAAGCATAGATGACAACAAAAACATAATTCGCTTACGCGGCAGAGGCGATCCAAAAGTGCCAACAGTTGATGAATTCTTTAGTGCGAGTTCGCTAAATTTAGCATCAAAATCGGCAAAAGGGTCCACAGCGGAAACGACATTCTTCGGCGCTGCGGAGTCAAACGGATTCGAGACCTTGAAATACACGAAATCAAAGAAACAGACGACTCATCGTGGTCAAAACCTGAGGAAAACTGCTGCTCGAAGCGGGAGATTTGGATGGTAAAGGAGGAGGTGGAGCGGTAAACGCAGGAGGCGAGAAAGGTTGGGCAGGAATCGAGCTAGTCTGAACGATTATGAACGATTACAACACACTTTCGTTATCGTCATGAACAGTAAATGAAACCTTTATTCATTAATTAGAGTACATAACTCACAGCTTGTATCGGCGGCGTTTCAGTAAGCTGCTGAACAGCTGATGGACGTGTTATAGGAGGCCCAAAAGCTGCGAATGGGTCGGTGGCGAACAGATCCAATTCAGGCGGCTAAAAGTGATGTAATAATTGACAATTCTGTTCCTAGTAACTGCATATAAGCAGCTCTCTCTTCCCGAAGAAAAACTTCACAGACAAAGGTATAGCTCAAGATATAATGGGATAGAGGGATACCGCCATGTACAAGTTCCACTTTCAATAATGGAGTTAGAATTTTCAAGCTTCTGCCGCAGATCTGTGAAAATCTGATCTAGTCTGAAAGTTAAGCCAAATCTATGCGTTCATCGCAAGCAATGTAAATACTGTACTGAAGCAAACGTTTTTCTCGTTTTTAATGTGGCCTTAAGTATAAGCAATTCTCACAGTACACGCACTTTAGCTGAGCTAAGTCCGTTGTGCAAATCCTTTATAGCTTATCCTAACTCGAACGAACGTATGGCCACTACGTCTTCTGCAATCTACTCAACTAATCGAGCAACTAGCTGATGCAAGCATTCTAACTGATTTCGAAAGGCTATATAGGAGTTTTCTCAACGAGCTTACAAGTCTCTTTGGACAAGACACGGGGTATATTAGGTTAGTAAGAAAGTTTTCAGAGCTCAATGATTTTTTATTCTAGTTTAGTACTAAGTGAGGCATGTTATACATGAATGAGGACAATCTTTACAAGACTGTGGTAAGCATGAGCACCATCAATGTTCCTATGAAAATGCAGAAGAAATTTCGAAAACATGGAATTATGAATTAAAGATCTACAACTTCTATAGACGTCATGACACTCCCACATACTATCCGAATCATAAAGACATAGACCTGTGTACTTGCATAGGTATGGAATTTATATAGAATTATAGAATTTGACCTCAAAAAAGGAGAAAACGACGTTATTAATAAATGACAAACTCTCCCCTTGATGATCCCAGACTCTTCCCACTTGCTCGCATATAGGCCACATGAGCGGATATAACTACAAATTTTCGCCGTACATGCATCAGATTTCGAGGAATAGTAGATTTAAACCAAAAAATGTCCGAAAACTTTTTTATTAACCTAATAAGTAGTCTACCCACATACTGCCATGAGCATACCTTCGATGAGGCACTACCGCCACTCTTCATACTGGCGCCAGACTGGCTAGCCACCTCTTTTGCTTGATTGAGGAGTCGTTCTTGTTCTTCAAGTTCACTTCGGGAAACAAACCATTCTTTCTTTTCGTATTTCTAAATTGTATGATGGGATTCCAAAATTAATTATTCAGATTCGGATTTACCTTGATGAGAAATGCAGTAATTTCATCTTTGTTTGTCATTTTTGGTGGATTGCCGGAATATAAACCAAGCCATGTATGTGAATTCTCTTCGTTTCCAAGGCTACGAACTCGCTCAATTTCCTCGTTTGTGAAGTTAGCCATGGAAATTGATTTGACCCGATGCGGTGGATTCAGACCACGTCTAAAACGAGAAAAACGTGAGTCACCTGGCTCCGTCTGATCAAACATTACCAACCATATAAATTAACTCACAAAATACCAGAGCAGCTGGTACAACAAAATGATCCATGTGTGACGTTTACATAAGTCGGTCCGCGCTGTCCACATTCAAAACAGAAACGATTTGCTGGCAATGATGCAAGTTCCCTGAAATATGTGAATTAGACATTTGTTTAGCCGTCACCCGTATGCGATTCTGAACTTGTGACACAGCCCATCAATACAAGCAAAAGCGATACATCACGCTGAAAAGGATACCTTGTACCCCATTTCTCGCAACAATAACTTCATTAAGTGCTATAATTGAATATAACCAACGTTTTGACGAAAGCGACTCGTTCTGGGGCAACCTCAGAAATAGATCAGTTTCAAAAAGTGAATGGTTGCTGAGAATAACACACTTTGGGATTTTAGCAGTTTTTCGAGCGCAAAACAAGTAAGCATAGCAAGAATAACGAAGTGTTGAACATGACTACTAAACAAATAGCTGATATTATCAAAATAAAAGTCTGCATCCGATCGACTTCCTATTAGTGAAAAACTAGGTCATACATGATCGAACGTTACAGCGGATCAAATGAAGTGGATTTTTTTACTCAGCGAAATGAGTGAATAACGCAAAAAGGACAGTATTTAGCAAATTATTGAACAATGAGATTAAATTGACATACCGTAAGGCCCGAAGATTCTTTTCATCCTGACGTTTCTTCTGAGCACTAAGTGTAGAACCCGAAGATGCGTGTGGTGCATTCACCATCTAAATAAGTGTTTTTAGGGTGCGGGAGTCAATTCCTACAGCAATACTCCAGACTGAACAAAGTGCAAGAATGGAACCTGAACAGAAGCAAAAGATCGAAAGGCGAAAAGATTAGACTCTTTGAGTCAAATCGATTTTTGCAGTCATGCAATTTCAACATACGATGAAGTGGAGGAAAATGGAACTAAGTTGGAAAATCCACCAGAGCAAAGCATCATTGAGGTGTTTTGACCACATGAGACTGCATCAGCAAAAAAGAGCGTTTTTTCTTCGAACTTACAGCATAAGATCACACAAAGAACACTGTTGATGAACAAATCATTGATTCGCTGAACATATATTATAACGGGAATACCCGCTGCTCCATTCACAGTTTATGCAGCAGGTTGGACTACAATGCGATGGAATGCACTCTACCAGCACAAAGGACAAACAACTTTTTTGCAACTGCAACTATCCAAATCTCTGAGGACACGGTCGACAATGCAATATATATCACAGTGAATTTGATTCTTTCGACGGAAACAGATTTATCGATGATGCTCGGTGCGGACGAGTTTTCGCAATTTCGGGGACTCTTGCATTGGAGCGTTGTTTCTACAATGTACGTCTTCGCTGCTATTTTCTGCTCGCACTGTCTGAACAGCTGTTAAAAGCTGGGTAGGTGACTTTATGTTGTTGTTGAGATTGAAAAAAAGAGAGAGCTGCTGATTTTGAAGCGTGTAAATCATCAGCTTTGTTTGTGAGATTAGAATCAGGTAGTCTGGAGAAAGCGCTGCCAGCGGGATTGGATTGCACGCCAAAACTTTCTTAAACTTGTACTAAAATACGTATTCGCTCGATGTTGTTGCTGGGTAATCCAATGTATAATGTCGTTTGTCGTCTATGGCGTCTTCAAGGAGTTAAGGTTGTTTACTAACCTGGGATCGCTGTCAAGATCCCTAATGCGTTAATGATGTAAACACTATAGATATCTGTATCTTTTGGCAAACAACATATAGCAGCACCAGCTCACGTCAGTGTTTCACAGCTTGGATGAAAGGCGCTTATGAATTTCTCAAACATTCTTTGTAAACAGCGAGCAGAATAACTTTGCTGGGAGCTTGCATTTGCTATGGTTTGGGCGTTTCTTCTGCTCAGAAGTTCTGTGCTTGAATTTAGATCTCTTATCCTGCTGTATTCATATGGAACATTTGAAAACTCTGGGGGCCTAATGAAAGAACTTTTGGTATGAGTGGAGAAGTATTGAACTCATGCTTCCTTTCTTTAAACTGCTGTCTTTTTTTTACTCTTTCTTGTACTGTGCCCGTCATTTCTAAAGGGCACGAACAGCTCCTTCGGCAACTGACTCAAAATCACAGCAGCCAGCCCAAGAATTTCGGATGTTTAGCCGCCACATCCGTTGCCGCGGCGGGCGGGTTGTTTCGTCTTCTCGAAGCTATAAGGCATGTTGACCGCGTTCCTTGCGCCATCCTCGTAACAAGGTTATCCTATCCAATACGGACACGCACACACCTAACAGTTTTTCCTCACTTCGTCGATTTTCTACGCCTCGTTTTCGAGCAGAAATCATCTTTCAATTTTTTTTCTCCTTTTGAATGTTGTAGCTAGTTTCGTCCTTACTCAGTAGTTCATTTGATATCATATATCTCCTATTCAAAATTGTTGCGGTTCAGAATCACACAGCTGCGCTAACACTCATAGAGCGAATAAAGGTAACATCCGTTTGCACCCAAGTAGGCGCGATTTATCGCGACCGACCACAAAGCGCGGGTCGGGACTACTTCGCTCGTCGTTCTGAGATGGCCCAAATCGGCGAACGAATGAGGTAAGAGCAAGGTTTGTATCGAAACTCACTTAGGCACTTTTCCTTTGTTCGCTGTCAGCCGACAGCATTAATTGCAACATATCGCGCTCGCCCGTCGCGTCGCGCATATTGCACTTTCAAAAACGGATCGCATCTGCTTCCTCCGTACATTTTCCCCCAGTGTGTGAGTGAGATCGCTTAGTCTCGCTTCCATCATGTTGAGGTAAAGGTGAGTGAAATGTTGGTGTCCTGAGCTCTGTTAGAGCGAGTTTCTGACCGACCCATGAGCACAATCAATATAATCTCACGTTTCTCTGCACACTCTTTCTGGGATGTATTGACTGCGCATCTCTCTTCCTTCTCGCGGCTTGCTGGACCCTTTTCCATGACTTACTAGTAATTCTGCTACTGTTCTTCATACCATTGAGGTTAGTCATTCTTTATCCTGGTTTTTCTCCTGTGAGATTGATCTACAACACTTCGCGCCGCGATTGATTCATGTAGGTTGTTCTGTTTGTAAACTCATATTGTTTTGCAACGTTATCGCCTTTACCTCACACTACCTTTGTATCACCATACATTATATCACTTTTGCAGTAATTCATTTCAAGCCCGAAAACTGTTCAAAAATCAAACAGTGGTCGTCACAAATGTCATAGTGCATAGTTTGGGAAATATGGAAAAAAGCAGCCACTTTCTTTGCTAGAATTTACATCTTCCTGTTGATTTTGCACAAGCGTGAAGTGCGGTGCTGCACTTGATCGAGTTCAAGCTAGCTTTTTGGGTTCCTGTTACCACCGTGAAACGTCGCGTCTTTGCAGCTGTGATTTGCTTTAAGTGTTTTGATGTTTTCACTGAAAACTAATTGAAAGTCACATAATCACTATAGCAGTAGTCGTTGTTTTGCATGGAAAATTTCGGAAACACACGTCTTTTCTCTAGCTCCGTTTTCATTCTTTCTCAAATGGCGATGGGACTGGCCTCTAAATGGCAAGGATAGTGCTGCTGAATACACATTCCTTGTGCACTATCCACATAGTTCAGTTGTAAATTAACACTGAATTACAAATAGGTCTGAAACTTTTTCGTTGTTTGAGACTTGCTTACCTACACTAAAAAGGTCAGCAGCTTAAGCCATCGTTGAATTTATTTTTGAACATCATCTCGCAATTTCTTTGTATGTATCTTGTTAATTGCCTTTTTCTTCCCCTTCCTAGTTGATCATTCCTTTCATTCGCTGAAGTCGTTTGCCAAACTGTATCCATACACTTCATGCTGTAAGCGCATCATTGCGAAGATGGATGTGATTTTATCGTGCCATGGTAACGTGCCCTTTCACAACTCTCCATTATCTCACTTCACAATCATATCAAGCTGGGGAACAGCTGCGTCTTTTGCAGAAAAACTTGGAACTTGAATAAACATAACGATTACGAGCCCCAGAAATTCTTTTTTCTTAGTAGATGCAGTTGCAACCATGTAGCAATACTTCAAATTTGCGCACACTTTCTCTTTGAAAGTGTTTTCATGTTTGCATCTGTTTTCGTGCTTCGCCAGTAAAGCTTAAGTGAGGATTGCTCAAGAGTGTCAATATTATCGTGTAGGTAAAGAAAACCCAAAGAAAAATGTGCTTAAATTCGCGCTTGCAGTGCACTCTTCGAGTGCACTGCAAGCGCGAATTTAAGCATTAGCTGCTTCGAGCGTTAGCTGTTGCGCGACTATAACCGCCGCTATAGAGCGTTGAACTCATTATCTGCATCCAATTTTTCATGGAGAGGTTGGTCAAAAATTATTGATTTGAAGGAGATTTTCTCATTGTGACTTACGACACGTTTAGTATGTTTTTGATTTTGAGTCGAGTGTTTTGACATAGATTTGTTTGTTTATCTTACCAAGTGATATTTGGAAAAGATGAATGTGAGCGAAAAAAAGCGTAGTGCCGTAATTGTTTTTCCACTCGCAACAACCGGTCGGTTCATCGCTGCGTACTAAGATAGGCGCACATCCACCACCCTTTAATTTCATTGTCGCCTTCTCAGTAGTTTTCGAGGCGTGAAGCTAATTGCACGTCGTAGCCATGCCAGTGATCACCCCTCATCAATTGTGAGTTTATCGCTGACATTATATGCTTGGATTACCTTACTCTATTGAAGTTAGCGCGATGATCGATCAGTTAATCGTAGGGTTATTCTGGTGCGTAATTGGTCACTAATCGTTTGTCGCGATGCATGTGCTACACATTGTGTAGTTCGTAGTATTCAACTTCATTTCCTTTGCAATATCGTACTTGTGAGAACTGACAACAAACTGGATGTTTGTTGCTTTTGAACGACGATTTTTGGAAGATAATTCTATTCAGTTCTTTTTCTTTTGCTTATAAATCTTTATGGGCAGGCAAGCCTTCCTTTTCTTGCGTTGTTTGCTCACTTGCGTGAACACTTTATAATGACTTAAGTCTTATGAAGACAAGGAATTGTAGTTTGTGATAATGTCCCTGCTTTTACCTTTACAATCTGCCTGATGATTTTGCGTTCAAATACTATTCAAAGTGTGCTGCGCAAAGTCATTAGCTTGATCACTAGCTTTAAACAACAAACACAAAACATTTGAAGATGGTGGAAGGTCTGGAAGGTCTTACGTGAATGAATAAGACACTTTACTTTTTAGTCACCTCCATAATCCTAGTGACATTCTTTTTTTTGGGACTTAACACAGCTTCAGTCCAGTCATGAAAAAGGCTAAGCTGAAATTAACATGTGCACTAATCATGCTTAGAAATCTTTTATGTAAAGCTCATGTGCTACGCATCTCTTTTCATAAACCAACTGCAATTTGTTTAACAAAAAGTACCGCAAATATATTCAGTCCAGTGCAGGCCCTTCAAAACATAAGGTATAAATCAGTTTTGACGATTTTGTGCAATTACGAAGTTATATTGCATGTGAGATAGACATCTAGGTGGTTTTGCCATCAATCTTATCACCGCCACAGAATGCGAACGCCACCTGACTTGTCATTTTCGAAAGAGGCTGTCTTGAAGAGGCTAACTATCGTGTATCACCTATGTCATGCGATGCGCTTATCACAGTTTTGATCAATTTGCTGGCAATTCTCACAGAGAGAGAGGGGTATTATAGGATATAATAGAAACAAGCAAAAGCTGTAGCATTGTAATTGAAATGTGAATCTTGCTCTAACATCGTTATTATATCAACTTTTTCAGGATGCAGTTAAACTACTTGAAAGGTGCGAGACTGTCTGAAACTAGCACTGTTAAGATGCTCTCTGTTCTGAAGGTGAGTTTTCGAATCAAATCAGTGGTTTTTTGGCCTTTCAAAGAGTTGATTCAAGGCACTAGCACAATGTCATGTCGTCCTGGGACTGATCATGCTGATCTTGTCAACGTTAGCTGACTATGTAAGCAGCCGCATCAACACAATCCGAATGTATGGACTGGAAGAATGCTGCTCCTTCTACTTCATTGTCACCGGGTGAGTCATCGGTTTCCGCTCGCGTTACAAGTACTTTTGTTTTTGTATGAAATTCAGAATGTTTCTTAAATTACTGGTGAAATATGCAATGACTGATTGTCGCATTCGCATTTCGTTTTTACAATGCGCTGCAGCGTGGGAAATATTGCCTAGTCTAAAGTGAATGTCTGTAGGTAATGTGGATTTTGCAACACAGAGTCCTTGAAAGTTGAGTAACATCGAAGTTGCAGATGCCATAGCATCGGAACACATCAAGTTTATCCGCGCAATCACAGATTGAGCTTGTCTTTTTAGCCTTTCAAACCTTCGTGTCATGATGGCAGTAAATGCTCGGTTGGCTTCCTTATTAGAGTTTATATGACAGCCTTTGCCTCAGATTAAAATCTACTTTGGTCTCATCATTTCTTTGACTCTGCCAGAGTAGAAAACCATAAGTGGTTAGCGCGCTTTTTGGCAATATTGATGTAGCGTCTGAAATGCAAACCAGAAGTCTCAGTATTTTGCGTTGTTTTGAGTATGATATCTCGTCCGTATCTGTTGGTACTTGGATAAATTGAGCGCAGAGATCCTACATCATATTCAGGAGTGATCAGGATTTTTTAGGTTGGTGGGCTTGTGTGGTGCAGCGTCGTATAGAAGAGGGCTAGTGATCACATTTCTCGTAATGGCAATCCACGCTATCATCATATTTGTACCGGCAATAATCATTGTGTCTAGTTTTGACATTCACTTTTACCAGGTACGTCTATATCTTTATACTTTTCCTCTTCAGTGCGATTGTTTATTTAATTTTTTTTTAGCATGAATGTTGGGGTGAATGTGATTGGCACCTATTGGCGACTTCCTTACCTCGAAATAGTCGGTGTCAGATAATGTGTGGTGATCACGTGGACGACAACATGAGGGTGTTAGTTTTTCTTAAAATTCTCACCGATAATTCGTGTAGAGGGAAAGTTTATGAAGAAGTTGGCGAAAGTGGGAAAGTGGCGTTTATTTTTTTCCATCTGTGACTTCGACGTAACTGTATGTTCCAGCATTCCAAATGATACTGCCGACATAGTTATTCAAAGTGTAGATCCTATTTTGTAGTTTTAAAATTGCGTCGATGATTCTCAATGCTGAAATGCCAGATCTCTTTGTTTTTATAGTTCTATGACGCGGTTGGGTACCGACTATCGTCTTGACGCTGGACTCATCGCTGCGGCTATCCTGGAATTGCTCTTAGCACTGGCAACAACAATCATCTCGTCAAGAACTATCTGCAGCACAGTTCGGGTAAGTTCCACTTTTATTCATTAGATTTACCTATACTTTCGTTTGTTATTCTGATTTGGCTTACCATCTAGATATGATATGATCTTGTGCATCATATCGAATTTGCTTGTTTATGATGTGGATCGTCCATAAAGTCTATGAGAGTGCTTTTGCAGTCACTGCAATGATATCGATTTTCATGTTTTTCATAGAAACACATTCTCGGTAAACAAGTGTGCAGAGATAATTCTCAATGTCATATTATTTAGTACATGAGCAATACTTAGCATTTTATCTCAAGACGATATGTGAACTCGAGTAGATCTTCTTGTCCGTAACGTGATTTCAAAGCAAGCAAATTTTTTTTGTTATTTCTGTAATTACTGGATAGATTTCAGGGTCCATCTGTGGAGATGGTGCCTCTAAATGGAGAGGCTGCGTCGACGCGGAATGCCTAGAAACTTTCTAGCGACGTTCATCTGGATGAACATGTTAATAAGTTTTGCATTATCATGTAAGCTGTCTATTTATGAAAGAGATTAAAAACCACAGTGACAGTGGATTTAGGCAGGGTCTTCTACACGCACAAGCGTTTATTACATCTCAGTATTCGTCAAGTGCACAAACCTCCACAACAAGAATGACCTTGTACGTTTGACTTTGTCGTCAATCCCACTGTGCAGTTGAAGAGGTTCTCTCTTGCTGTGTGACCAATATTCATAGCATAATATATATTTCTGATGTCTTTCGTTTTGTTCTGTATACTGTTTTTGTCTTTTTTGTTTGTTCAATTTGACTTAAGAGGTGCTGCATGCCTTTTGAGAATTGTCCCGTTTACAATAGTTCAGTCAGATAGCTGCGGGATGGAAAAGATCGTCACTTTGCGTTGTTCGTTAATTTATTGTGATTTTTCTCTAATTGAATGTGTTGGTTTATCGTGCAACAGTGGAATCTGTATATTCGGCATGCGATTTTGTACAGGTATGGCGAATAAATGCCGCGAACCAGATCTTTTTTCTCAATATCGAGATTAGTGCTGTTCGGTAATCTTGCGTGTTGCAATAAATTTCACTTCGTCATCTGAGTAAACTGTACAACTGATATGAATTGATTATGAATCGACAGGATAAGAAGTAGATAAGCATGTGCCGGCATCGCAGGATTGCGTGTAAGATGTCACTGCTAGCGGATGTCCGTCGATGCTATACTTGCAGGCTTCGTTTCCGGAGTACATGAGCGAGCACACCGTAAACAACGAAAAGTCGAAAGCTAGAATGACAGGTATGGTGTGAATGTGAATATTTGACAACGATCATTTTTGTATGAGGCTCAGGAATTTTTCCTTAGGGAGAGGAAGCAACTTGTTTGCTTTAGGCTGCCCGGGCTTGTTCCTCAAGAGAATGTTTTTAGAAAATAAAGTCGTGAAGAATTGGGCTATTTCTTGCTCTGTTTTGAAGATGGGTGAAGATAAGCCTTACACTTACCCGGAGAGGTTCCTATGAGAAATCCTCCTTTTTTCTTCAGATTGTTTGACCAAGTATATTGAAATGTGCCGGTTAGGTTCTATAATTGCAAAGTTGTATCAAAATGCCACAGTATTTCATAAAGCGTTTTACCCGTCAACAACCCACTAAAAGGATGTTTTACCTCAACGTAGGTATAATATCCGTGGTAGTTAATCGTGTCTGCTTTCTGGAAGTTATAGTAGGACACCCAACTATGTTGACCATCAATTGTTCCATCCTTAAATTCGCCGATGAAAACATGTTCGAACCCTAAATATACCACATCACGGTTCCAAAGGTTGGCGACAGTCTCTTACCAGAACTTCCGATAGCACCGTGAGAGCAGCGGGAGTAAGTACCGTACCACAAGTTGAACAAGAAAGTTTTGAAGGAGGTCAAATCTTTTGCATGAGCATTCCCTAACGTAGGTATTGTTTTGTTATGTAAGAAGATCACATTCTATATTTGACGGTTGATATAGTGTCTCTGCGGTGAACAGCATTTGCGCGAAAATAAATACAACTGTGATTGCTCACAGCTTTGCTTGCGAGTTGCGCGAAGGAAATGGCTATGGGGCGTGTCTTGTCATCACTTACGCGCAAATGTTGTCAGCAACACAGCAACACTTAAATCTACTAGGCTTTATGCAAACCGTTCTCCTGCAGAAATTGGAAGGCGAGGTTGAACACTTGTGTTGAAGTCCATGTATCCATTAACTGTTGCAGCTGAGTCTTTCGGAAACCGGACATTCCCGGCTCAGCGGTGCAGACCTGGATACATTAACCACAGCGCGTTAAGGAATATAGAAAAATCAAAAGAATTATTTCTTACGTCATGAGTGAAGAGGTTATTTTGCACCACGCTGAGCAGATTGGCGTAGACAGGTTTCTTGTAAAGCGTTTCGTTCACGTAGACGATGAGACTGAATGGGGTATCAGCTTTGTAATGAAGATTTGAGAAATCTATGGCTATACTGACTTATTATTGCTATTGTCGGAGGTACCCGTTTCTTTCTTTCCCCAGTCAAGTTTGTAGTCCCCTGGACCTGCTTTGTCAACATCAGCAGCTCTCATTTTGTTAACAAGATCCTGAAAGTAAAAATGTTGGTGATATGAAGCATTGCCCCTATTGTGATATTATTCTTCAGCATTAAGTCGATTCATTTTCGTCTTTTCTTGGGGTGTTTATGTTTTTCTTTCTGCTGGTTTACCCATGTCCTTGCAATGCCTGAAAATCCCCAGAATTCCCTGCTTGGTTAAAAAAAATCCAAAATATGCGCAGCGCACAGCCATTTTGCGAATGTAAGTTACTCGCATAGCAATTTTCTCACGCGCAAATGTTGTCGGCAGATGTTAGTACCGCAGCGTTACTACTTTTGCCATCAGGTCTACTAGCCTGTGCTAAAGATATTTTTCTCTGGATAAACGTGCGCACTATGTTTAGTGCTATTTTCAGCATTTGGAACCAAAAGCTATATACATATATTGGATTTCTTTTGGATTTCATCCGCTAAATGGTTGATAGAGCGATAAACTTATAGAAAAGGCTGAATTTTCCCCGTTTCAAGGCTGATAAAAATCTAGCTAGCCAGAAAGTGAGTGATTCCACGTTCTTCATCGTTGAATCTGTGTAAAGTCCTCCACTTAGAAATCAGAATTTTTATTTACGCCTTTTATTAACTTTTCCAAAAAACCTTGCCTGGAACTTTGAATTGTTTGGCGCCGGTTTCTTTGTTGTTTGTCCGGGCTTTTGTGTAGCGGCACCAGATGAGACAACTGGATGGCAGTCGTCAATCTGAAAATCCGAAATAAGATTTTTTGGGTCCTTCATGCGAAAATCATTGAGCCCCACCACAACAACGTTATTACTCGTCAGTGTGCTTGCAAGAATGGTGACCGGCTGACCATTGACGGCGAATGAGCACTGTAATAAATGATTTTACGAGTGAAAGCAGAAAATGAGATACTCTTTTTTACCGTACCTGTCCTCCGGTAAGGGCACACACTGTGTATGCAGCCATTTCAAACTCCGGTGAAGTGTTGAGTAACATCGAAAATTCCATAGCTTGCCAGTCGTACCATGAAAATTGCAGCGAAAGCTCTACTCCCTGAACGATCACGAAACTCTTTGAATATGCTGTTGTAAACTTTGGTAAACTTGCGTTTTCTACGTCATCTCATGTTCTGTGTTATAATTTCTTTAATCCCACATTTAAATTGAGAATATGTCCAAAAACAACTTCTGTGCTTTACAATTCAACGAGAACTGATAAACGTGCGTAGTTCATCATGTTGATGATTGAAAAAATTGCTAGTTTGATGTACTGAAGCTTCGACATCGCTAACAAAAGAAAATCGCGCTGTTCAAAAGGACAGAGGAGTAAAAACCCTTTTAATTACTCAGATTGTATCGAAAAACCCCTTTTCGAAATCAAACTTTTCTCTTCCTAGAAGACTTGGGGCAGTGTCCCATAGTACAAAGCAAGCTCTACAGAGACCACGAAATATCAGCCTAAGTCAGCTACTTTGAAAGTCGGATCTCTTCAGAAACTCCTATGCACTCCAACTTGACCTTACCACAGTGAACACATATATCAGTTTGTCCCATAAGTTCCGTCTCTTTTAAATTTCAATCGCAATCTAGGAAGGTTTTAAGGTACCGTTCGATAGAGCAAAGCAAGCTCTACAAGATGACTTTCTTACTTTCGCACCAGTTCAAATCCATCTCGAGTTTGAAGCCAAAAGCCAAAAAGATCCAAAAGCTTGAAAAATAACGAAAAAATTGTAACTCCTTCCAAAAAATTCCTAGAAAATTCCTAGTTTGCTCACAGATACGCTATCCACATCAGCCATTTATATATACTGTTCCTGTACTTTTTCCTTGAATAGAAATCGAAAAAACGAAAATTTTCATGTTCTTGCCAAAGTGATGCTGTGTTGTCCCCACGTTGGTATTTGTATACTACAGACCAGTACAAGTACAGACACAAATTTACAGCGCTCTACAGGCTTAGTTCTCGAGAAACATTGAATTTAGCTTCGCACACTCGGGTGTGCCATATTAGAACGATTATTTCTCGAGAACTCAAGCCTGTACAGCGCTGAAAATTTGTGTCTGTACTTGTACTGGTCTGTAGTATACAACTACCAACGTGGGGACAACATAGCATCACTTTGGCAGGAACATGAAAACTTTTCATTTTTTCGATTTCTATCCAAGGAAAAAATACAGGAACAGTATACATAAATGGCTGATGTGGATAGCGTATCTGTGAGCAAACTAGGAATTTTCTAGGATTTTTTGGAAGGAGTTACGATTTTTTCTTTATTTTTCGGGCTCTTGGATCTTTTTGGTTTTTGGCTACAAAATCGAGATGGATTTGAACTGGTGCGAAAGTAAGAAAGTCATCTTGTAGAGCTTGATTTGTTCTATCGAATGGTACCTTAGAACCTGTCTAGAACCAAAAAGTTCATGACTTATTGTGATTGAAAGTTAAAACGGACGTAACTTATGGGACAACCTGATAGTATTGAAAATACATTTGGCGGATTTTTCCCGCGGGTCAAAATTAGAAACAAAGAACAGCCCGGAAATGCAAAATCCCACTTTTTCGTTTTTTATGTCAAACTTTTTAATTCTCGATTATCAGCGCATACAGAGGTACAATTCTGAGGTTGATTCTTCAGTGATTTCAAGACAAACAGGTTTGTTATGACTTATTCGTTGAACGTAATGTTTGTGGCATCAATGCCTTCTCAGATCTGACTTGTCAGGGATCTGAGATTATACTCAATACTACTCAATACTACTCAATACTACCACTTGATACTTCTTATACTTAATCTGAGGTTATACTTACTTGGCTTGCAGCTTTTAACCATGTATGTGAGAGGGACTTGAAACGGAGTTCATTTTTGGACTATTTTTTTTTGATTTCTCTGCGCTAAAAAATCTATGCATTTATGAATACTATTACTTATCTTCTGTGTGAGGAACAATTTGTAGCCTCGTAGAATATTTTTTGCGAGAACTCAACCCTTAACTGTATTTTTCTTCTGATTTTGGCTCCAAAATCTACTTATCATTACTTAGGTGGATCTTCGTTGGCCAGTGCATAGAGCTTGCTTTGCTCTATCGAACAAGTGTCCTTAGTTTTTTTAGGAAAAACGGTTCAATTTGTTTTGGATAGGATTTACTTTTGGGGCAGCCTAATAGTTCGGGTGTCTGGTCTAGTCGCGGGCGAAGGCGGACGTCCACTCAAAAGCGCACGCATGCGCAACGCGTACATCAGCTTTCACTTCAACAACTCGAACAATGATAGATGTTCAAGTCTCTATTTTTTCTTCTTGTGGAAACGTTCAAGATGATTAACCCGATGCCTTCTAAAATGTAACGTACATTTTCTTTTTGAAAGAACCCGTGATAGTTTATGTTGCCCGCCTTCTCTTGATTGTAGAACTGCAGCCAATTGCCAAAACGTATCACATTGGTCGCTTTTGTTTCACCAACGAAAAGAGCTTCGAAGCCTGGAACAAAGTACGATCATCCAAGGTTTTAATTCTAATAGAAAAAAAGGATCATGATGAGAAGAACACACCCGAACTGCCGGCTACCGTATCTCTGGCGTAGAGCGTAAACCACAATGTCTGCAGTTGATTTTTAAACAGTGTCACATTCGGTGAAGAAAGTCCTAAGCTCATTAGCTAGGATTTAGAGTCTCGATTTCCGGCTTCCGTGACACCTTATCAATTGTCACTGACGAACCTTCGAACTCACCTGAATTCACCAAGAACGTGTGTGCACTTTGCATTACTGTGGTTTGGATGATAACGTCAAGAAATGCAGAGATAGATGTTTCCCAAGCTGGCGTCATTGTTTCTGACTTGTCCACATCAGGCTGGTTGTAAAACGCCTGAAGGCTCATTACCAAAAACGTGTAGTTTAGCATTACGCTTTTTAAGCTGTTTCTGCGCTGTCGTCAACGAGCGTAAGAAATGGTAATAGAGCGCGAAACATGAAGGTGCGCATTACGCGTGGTTGCTAGCACTGCAAAAGCACTTAGCAACCGCTGAATCTACTAGACTACAAACCCAGGCCCACTTTCATAACTTACAATAAGATTTTCCAGTGTTTTGTACGTGGAGCCGCTTACTGCACTTTCAACCACTGACGTGAAAAGTGGTTTTGCAGCATTGTCATGAGTAAAATCTTTGTGTGATGCCATGTTCTGAAAACCAGATAGTAAAAATAGCAACAAGGGGAAAATGTTCAAAAAGACACCTGGTAATTGATAGTAGTGTCCGTATCGAGTCGTGTATCCTTTTGTACCAAACTGTTCAAGGTTTGTGTAACTAGGCTCTGGTCAACTTCAACTGAAGTTTGAACGTATCAAGGATGCCATCGCCTTTGTTTTTCAATAGTTTTTCCCCGTTATGTGGAAAGGCAGAGGAGACGGGTGGGGAGGGGGGGGGAGGGAGGGGGGAGAAAGTAAAATCACTAGCGTTAGACCTCTTCACCAAAGTAGCGTTCAGAGTTACCCTTGCGCCAGTGCAGTGCCAGCGCCGTTCCAGCGCCCCGGAACCAGTGAGCGCGTATCGATCGATCAATATTTCGGCACGGCGCTAGCACAGCGCGGGAACGGCACTGGCGCGGGTAATTGAGTAATACTCATGACTAGCTGATGCTATCGTTGAATTAGGTTCAAGATGTCTTAATGTTGTGAAGTTCCTGTCTTCGCAAATGATCTTTCTTCTCTAGGAATATAACAATCAAACATCGAACTCTTCCTGTATGCCTGCGATATTCAACAAATCGCAATATAGCTGGCATAAATTTGCTACAGCATAATAGTTGTGGAAGTTTTTGACTGAGCTGAAATCTAGAGAAGGTGTGAGCAGGACGAGTTCCATATTCTGACAGTCAGTCTTTCGGTATTTACATAGGTTTATGCGGAAATACCGTTACTTACCTTGGAAGGGAGCCGCATAGCAACATGCCAATATGGCTACCAAATATGTAAATCTGGACGCCATTAGGTTCAACTCCTGAAACATTGGCTACATTCGAGTTTGAGAATAATTGTGATTTGGTGGTTGTGAGTTTCATTTAATCGTCAACGCATATAGTAAGTAGTGGTCGAAATATTTTTCAATGAATTTCAAAGAGGTTTCTTGATAGCATACATGGAAAAGTTCCCCTATCAAGAATATCGAAGCGAAAAAAAGTGATTGTCTCTTCTAATCTTCCGACTTGAATGACACGTGATAAAATGACGCATGAACAGGGTAATTAAGCCTGGCCACCGATAAGATGCCATAGCCCGTTATCTGTTCTCGTTTCTTTGAGACGGTTGTCTATTGTTAAAGCATAATTTTGCCGAGTCTGCACAAACCACAGTACAAAAACTTGTGAGCAAAAGTGAATGGCTAAAAGTTGAAATGGGATGTCTGAGAAAATCGTCTGAGCTGTTGCATTGTAAATGCTGAAAAAACCTTTGAGGATCAAGTTAGCAGGTATGAATTAAGTACAACATCCGTATCGTATTTAGGATTGCACAGTACGTAATAGCCAAAAGTGTCTTTGAAAGTTCATAAAAATTAGTCTTAAGGAGGTGCCCGCTCATTATCACCTGTGAATAGCATATATCGCCGGGACCCCACGTACTCAGCCGCTCAGCGCGTTATTGTTCAAAGCTAGGCGCGGGCAGCTGGATTTTACAAGGCCTATGCCCCCGTGCACTTCCAACCCCCTAGCTACTTTGTAAAAATCGATAAAATCGATATCGATCGATAACGAAAAGCAGCTTATGACCCCAACCCGAAGTGTATGTGTACCAGTTTGGTCTGGATCGGTTCAGAGACAGAAGTTTTGATTGGAACATACGCACATGCCAAACAAGCATACACGCAGACTTCAGCTTTATATACAAGAATTTTCAGCCGGTATTCTTTTAACGGCGTTATCAGAAGCGTACCAGATCTACTCAGGACATTTGAAAAGAATTCGTGTGACTGTAAATTTCTCCCCGTCTCCCAAAAGTTGCAATGTATAACTGCAATGACCTTACATATTTAAATAGACTTAGAATCCGTGTGTGATGTTCAGGTTCAGAACTTTTGCTACTTCACGGCAAAAAAATTGAAACTCTGCTTTTAATGTCGGTGATTTGTTTCCACTTGCGCTGCTGCCAGATTACTTATCAATTACTTAATTGAATTATTGGAGCTGAAGATTCCGGTTTCGTGGAACGGAGTGTCGTATACCCAACAAAACTCGAGCCCTTTTATTTGTGTGCTGCCTCCGTTAATTCCCCACAAAGATCTTCTTTGGGGTATCTTTTCAATGTGTATTTTGGATGGATCCGTTGTGAACGTGATGTTCAAATATGTAGGCTAATCTATACTGTATTGGTTGACTTGTAAACTGTAATGCCTTTAAGAATTCACATGACGACCCTTCTTTTGAACCATCTCCGTTCCGTGGCGATGACCAATATCTACAGTCATATCAGCTTTTTTCTCTGGTATGTTTCCATGTAGCTGCGTAAACTTTACTTGTACATTTACTATGTATAAATTCAAGATATTGATTCGAACGAATCAATTAGTAGGATATGCAGTTGAAAGACACGTTCCAGCATTGCAGGTTTGTGTATACGAGGTGACTGCCAAAGGTGTACCATTGATGCGGTATTTACATGTATTTGATCCCGGATGCAATAATGCACAAACGGTGAACAGGGAGAAGTCGAAGGCTGAAATTATTGAAATAGAAAATCCACATACTCTGAAGCCGAAAATCTGATCTGAAGTTACCCTAGTAAGATAGTTTGTTACTGTTATAACTACGAAAATCTTCTGGAACCATTATTGTAAACATTGACAAGCTGCTATTCGAATAAGTATAGGCTGCTGCATGACAAAGGCGCAATCTTTGGGCGCGAACGCGGCTTTATTAGCCGTAGAGCGCATGAGGCGCAGGTTCTACACAGGGCCCGGCACAGATCGTCTGGAAGCAGGCTGGACTTCGTTTTTAGAGCAAAAAGCAAAGGAGATATCGTTTTTGACGAATCGGTGCCGAACATCAAGAATAAGCGCCATTTAGTCGAATACAAACTTTTTGGACAGGTTACCATACGATTGACATGCTCAATCGTGTATGGCGAAAAGTGCGCGCGATTTGAAAGCAAGGCTAAAATAAACAAATTGCTTGTTTACAGCGCACACAGAATCGTTTGACACCAAAATTGAACTGTAAGCATAGAAAATTATTTGAGGAAGAATTATGTGAAAAGTATTGGAAACTTATGTGAAGGAATACCTTTTCCAAATTTAGATCGTCTCCAGACGGCCACCAGACGATCTGAGATCGTCTGGAGCATATATTTTTGTCAGTTCACATAAGTTTCGAATTTTTCTATCATGGACGGATTCTCCGGTCAAAAATCTATACCTGAGCATGAAGACATTTCCATATCATTGCCTTTCCTTTGTTTTTTGCTTTTCTTCATGAATTACTTTGTTAATTATCGCGCTCCAATGCCAAACTCTTGCGCATGTAGTATTCAGCTCCAATCTGGATTCTCACACTTATTTCACGTTTTTTTCTCAGACTAGCAAACCTTTCTCGTTTTCATCTTCTTCTAAGGTCAAAGAAAACTTCGTAAATTTTCTGAAAGTTAGGGTAGACTTCGTTTTCAGAAACCCTAGAGACCGACTCGTACCGGGCCCTGGTTCTACAGCGGTGAAGATATGCGCGCGTCGCTTTCGCGACTGCTATGGCACGCGCCATACTTGATCCGCTTAATCCACTTGATCCGCTTCATCCATTCCACTATTGGTCAGTTCACTGAATTGACCAATGATGAAGCGGATCAAGTGGATCAAGCGGATCAAGTGGATTAAGTATGGCGCCTGCCTATCTAGTACTGCTTCTGCGCCTTCGTCATGCAAGTAGCCTTACTCCCTGTTGCGCTCAAACTACAAAACGCAGCGCAAGGGCCTTGAGTGCGGACATCTAATCGATAAGGCCAATCTGAACGCCTACCTATATCAAACGCGCGCGACGTGTCGCAAGCCATTGCGTGGCCATTTCGCGGATAGAGTGAACATATACGCATGGTTTTTTAGTTACTAGGAGCACTACTAGAAGTAAGAACTAAACCGTTCTAACTATCAATTTTCTTTTGCTATGCGAAAAAATTACCTGGGGATGTGCCAAACAGCATACCGCCCTTCTTCTTCAGATAGGTCTCCCACTTATATTGGAAGGTTCCCGTGAGGGTCTATAACGATAGTCTTTTGACTTGTTGAGAATAAATGACGAGGAGTTCGTTGGCCTACCCCTAGTTTGGTGTAATACCCGTGATAGTTGATCTTTCCCGCCTTCTGTGCTAGATAATAGGTAACCCAGCTGTGGTGTCCACCAACAGTACCCGATTTCCATTCTCCAGTGAAGACATGCTCAAATCCTGCAAAGGGTTGATGATTACCAAAACGTTTTTGATATTGTATGACTTTTACCTGAGCTTCCCATTGTCCCTGAGCAACGAGAATATCTTCCAAACCAGAAATCAAAGAGGAACTTTTTCAGCGATGCGAATGAGCTCGAATGTGGCTCATCTGCAAACCCACTTCACATATATTACCCATGATGACGGGAGGACGTACTGTTAGAGTGCAGGAACTCGTAAGCCAATCTGAAAACCTCTGTGTCTGTCCAGGTATCAAGCAGTAGCTGGGCATGTACCTTTCGAAGACCAGTCATGGGTTTCTCTGCTTCGCAGACCTGGACATTGTAAAATTTGAAGTTTCGAACTCCTCTTATACCAAACTTACATCGTGGTAGAACACTCCATTTTCAACCAATTTTATCAAAACATCGTAGACTGGCTGTTGGAAGACAGTTTCATTCACGTCGTAGAATAGACTGAAGATATTGTCGTTTGACAGGGGTATGAGGGTTATATAGTCATCAACGGACGTACTCATTCGTACTCTGGTCGGTTGTCCCGGACACTGGGTTACCGTAATTGACCTTATAGTCTTTAGGTCCAGCCGCATAGATGTCGGCTTCTATCATAGCGTCAACAAGAGGCTAGAAATAAGCTTTTTAAAACGTGTTTGAACTCGAGGAAACAAGCGAAGTACTGCTTCGTTCTCATTTGACTTTAAATACCAAGACCGAATGCCTCACCTGAATATCGCCGGGCTTCGGCTTCTTGGTCTTCTTTCCGAATGGCATCCTTGTCACGGTTTCATCGGAATTTTGCTCACCATGGAAGAGTCGGTTGAACCAGCGTCCCAAGAAATGATTTGGTTTACCGATTCCATATCCTTCTTCGTTTAGTGCTAGAACAGTTTCGTGGAGGTATTTTTAGCAAATCTGGTACCATATTTGGTTATGACGATTTTCTCTAGTTCTACTTAAATGGCTAGAAAAATACGATTTTGTTGATAACTACATGCGAATAGCGCATTTTTGTTGCGAATGACTTCTGTTCTTTGTTTTCTTTGGATTTATCGTAAAAATAGTTCGTTTTGTTGATGTACTTCGAACACTTCTTCTGTTAGAAGTTTTTCGTGCATGGTTTTCCAGAATTATTCCTTCTGGAGTAGCTCCAAATTAATTTCCGTAGAAGGATGTTCCGGCTTTAAAGCAATTAACGAACATGCGAAAGCTTGAGTTAAAATTAACATTTTGTTGTGCGTTTTTACACATTTTGTTCTCTACAATTATTAGGATATAAAGAACCAAAAAAATGCGATTTGGTAGTGCTGCTGTAATAAATTGCTTCTGGGCCTTTGGTCTATTAAACGAATTTCAGAAGACATACCGTAGCACTGCACCACAAGAAACAGTAGCAAGACTGCTTTACCCATGGTTTACAATTGAGTATACCTAGAATTGCAAAATTTATCAAATATACGAAACTACAGAGGAAGTCAAAAACACACACTAGCATGTGAGCATTTTATATTAAGGTCACGGTCAAAGTATGAAACTTAGATAAGAATTGAACTTTTTTCTTCTTTTCTTTTAGGTCTTTCTCTTTGGTTCTTTGAGTTTTATCACGAAGCGCTAATCTTCTCAGATTAACATTAACGGTGTTTGATTTTAGGAGATAAGGTATACCAAATGAGACTTTATATATTGCAATTTTCTGTTTATGACCCGAGGTGTAATGCAATTCGAGAGCCAAAACCTACCTCAGAAAACTTGCGCAGTATCTTTTTTTAAAAAACATATCGAAGCCGAATTTGGTGCTATTGACTTCTTCGGCCCCATCAATAAATGAAGATTGTTCTGAGATATTTATTTTTGGATTGTGCATCTATAAGAAAAGATTTCTGGATGTAACGCAGATGAATATTTGGAAGAAGACCTGTTTTGGTTTGGTGCATTGCTAAGTAGACAACTATCTCAAACTTTATTCTGACTTTTCTTCCTGTTTTGTACAGTTTTTGACGTTCAGAGATATATAGAAAGAGCAAGTCTTGAGTTTCATGCGCCTGCATGAGCGTTTTGTATTTATCGCAAGGATCGATATCAAACATTTAAAAAATTACATACAAATCACTGTTGCACATATTACGTACTAAGCTTTATGATAATATTTTTGCGGGAGCTATTCATAGTAGTAAGCTGACCGACTGCCCAAGAAAAAGATTTTTTCTTTACAAAATCAGAACCATGCAAATCGGCTCACATCTCCACAAGCTTTGACTTTTGAAACTAGAATGGCAGAGCTTTTGTATTGTCTATCGCCTCACAAAATATAGCTAGCAAAAGAGATTATTCGGAATTATTGGGTCGTTAAAAAAGTTTTGCAGCTGTCTCCTACTTTTCGCTTCTTGATATTAGCGCCCCATTTATATATAACTAGCTGGCTTACCCGGCTCCGCCCGGCCCTGTCATTATTTTATTCGTAATCAGCATGCTCGATTACCCCCTGCGCCAACTCCCAGCCCCGTAGCTCAAATTTTTAAAAAAATCGATAAAATCGATATCGATCGATGACGAAAAGTAGCCTGTGACACCCGCCGGGGTCCGAAGTGTATGTGTGCCAAGTTTGGTCCAGATCGGTTCAGAAATGGAATTTTCTATTCGGAACATACGTACAGACATACAGACATACAGACATACAGACATACAGACAGACAGACAAACAGACATTCAGTTTTATATATAAGAAGGATGTGTAGAAGGATGTGTTGATGTGAGCTACAAACTGGCACGAACAGCTCACTTCTTAATGACTAAGTGAAAACTACAAGCGTTTTTTCGGAGAATAGTGAAATTCGAGGATTTGTGGGCAAGCAAAAATGAAGTCGTTCGCAGTTTAGACCACGCACAACGGTCCGAAAATGTAAATGAATTGCTGCTAGAGGTTGACTCCTTACAGTAATAAAGGAACGCATCTTGATAAAAAGTCAAGATATCTAGCGCTTTCACGAATTTGAACGAGTCGCTATAAGCAAGGCTTGGAAGAAAAGCTCCAACGACTGACGAGTCCAACAAAGATATTGTATGATGCAGTATATGTATGACCTGACAAACAAAGTCGTATCATTTGTTGAATCAACGTCTACATTCGTGTTTAAGGTATGACCAAATACCGTAAACCTACCGTAGTCATACAGAAAAGACTCTACCATGCAAGTTCGCTGTGCTTCTCGTGATTACATGTCGGATATACCTCCTCTATGCCAAGTTTCAATCAAATCTGTAATGATCTATAGTTGTTATTCTATTATGCATCTACCGTAACCGTCACTGTAACGTCAGAATTTGGCAGAACAGCTGCACATGAATCTCACGCCTTATCCTACATATACAAAATTTACTGTGTCGTATTCGAAGTGACAAAAGCTATGGAACAAAGCAAAAATTAGTCAACAACCACACCAAACACCCATCAACCTTAATTCTTTCTACATTTTGAAACTTTCTGTGTTGATATTCAGTAATCAGGCGGTAAATAAAACACAGATAGTGTTTTTTTTTGGCGCGATATATGTCACACCCCTAAAGTCGCGTTTCAGTCTTATCTTCCAGTGGCCGTATTCATCAACGAGACCCGTGGGTTCCGGAACCCACGGATTTCGTTGATGAATACGGCCACAGGTTGTTACGTACTAATAAAAGGAGAGTCATCATCAGCATAGTAAAGAAAGTTTGCGCTATCCGCACAGAGGAAAGGCGTGGCGTTCGCTTTATGTAACAGATCACTTCTGAGGCACAGTGAGAAGATTTTCCTATATAGTGTGCTTGCACTGGAGGTGAAATGCGGTAAAATTTGCGCGTAAACAAATAGCTACCCCTGAGGAGCCGTTCAATTGCGCGCGCAAAATTCCGGCATTACTGGCTTGGCTTTTGTTCACGCGCAAATTTTATCGCATTTCAACTCAGTGCGAGCACACTATATTAAGCGGAAAATCTACTCGACTGTGATAATATCCTTCTCATAATGACCAGAGTTTGTTGCAGTAGGAGTTATGCACACTGTTTTGCGATTGGAATTTGCCATTCACTGTGTTCTATGGGAATTGCCATCCTATCAAAGAAGATTTCACAGTCACATCATTTTTTCAATGCACTTTGCGACGGCGTTAGATTTTCGTCTAATGTTACGTATAATGCTTGAATAATCGTCTTATAACATGAATAGCTATTGTCACGCCACGTGTCACCCATGTGGTACCAAAAAACTGCCATCTGATTTAGCGTTCTCATTCAGTTAACGCATACGGAAAGTAGAGCCTTTTGGAAACTCGTCCCGTTAGCTGATGAGTGAGCTGATCCCAAACTATCCCTAGCCTAGAAAATTAACTCGCTGTTCTTACTGTTCTTTTTTTCTCTGCCGCACTTCCTCGTCACACTATTTATGACACTATGACATGTCACTCATCGTCTTTCATTTGAAGTCAACGTGTTTTTCTAGTTAGGGATCTGGGTTGGAAATCTTGAGCTTTTGGCTGCATACGATAGTAGGATCCCCTATCTAGCCAGTATCAAGTCGCGCGTATAATGCCGCTTCGGAAGTGAGAAAATCAACTCCGGAACAGCAGGAAGAGCAGAAGACCCCTAGGTGGCAACGCCCTTCAGTAATGCCCGCTCATCGCAAGCGCCAATTCAATCACCGTCCCGGAGAACCGAAGTGCGTGTTCTCTGAAACGAAATTTCAAGAATCTGAAAGTCTGGGTTTTCGCGGTTACTTGACTTTATATTCGTCACGGACACGAGAAAGCTTCAGAACGACAAAAACATAAAAGTCGAGATTTCGGATACGGTAGCTTCAACGTGGAATGGGCTAACATATGCGCGCTTTTATTCCTCCATAGAAACCGGCTTGCTTCTTAGATTGATTTCCGAAGCTCAAAGCTTCCTTATCTATTCCTAAAAAGGCATCCATCTAGGCATAGCAAAAAGCTTATATATTAGAGTAAAGCAAGAGCAAGTAAGGATCATCACCCAATATTTCTTCTTCGACAACAAGGAAAAAACATTAGGAAGTTGGCGTACTTAGCATGCGTGGGCGTGGTCAACTGGGGTTTCTAAATTACTCATAAGAATTGCTGTGCAAAAGACATGGATTAAAACTGCTGTGCAAAAGACATGGATTGTTTGGATTGATGGAAATAAAAAGCTCTTTGAAATTTAGTCTAATGATGGCAATTTGCATTCCTGTGTGGGGCATGTATAAATAAGGTTCTTGAAAACATAGTGTTCAAATGTTTGCTTCTCTCTCAGTTGTTAGTCTCTTACATACCAAACCATCCTTATGATAACCAAGTGTTCATAGAAAGATTAAAATGCAAAAATGTTAACATTGAAAGCTACAACATTTTACGTCAGAAGTCTGCAAAACTACAAAGCTTCAGAGCAACTTAGTGTCAACGGTGTTATTCAAAACCGCAACCGCTTTTCATGCAATCTCTTCCATATGGTTGGAATTTTGGTGGGAACCAATGTCTCGCTTTCGACAGTGAGTCGTTGATATTGTTTATTAAGACAAACATAACATACACTCGGGGATTCCTTTTATACATGTAAAAGGGACGGAATCTACCCGAGGACAGGGTCGCTGTAGGCGGGCTACGGCTCAAAGGGGACGCCGCCGTAGAGGTCGAGTCCCGCTGCACAAATATCACTAAAAACTGAGTGATTAGATACTTACACAAAGTGGATGGACATTATACTTTGGACCGAATCGAATGATTATTCGATTATTCGAATAAATCATTCGAATGCGAATGATTCGAAAATTCGAATATTCGAAAATCTGAGATTTCGAATAATATTCGACAGTCGAATATTCGAAAATTTTCATTTTCGAATATTATTCGAAAGTCGAATATTCGAAATTCTCAACTTTCGAATATTATTCGATAGTCGAATATTCGATAGTCATTAATTCGATCATTCGATGTCCATGGAATATTCGAATATTCGATGAGCACCGAATATTCGAAAATTCGATAAGAAAATTGACTATTCGAAAATTCGAAGCATCGAATATTCGAAAATTCGATATCCACAACATAGACGGGGTGTCCCAAGGGTATGTACAAAGTGTTTAATTGCTAATACCTCTCACGAAGTCTTTTGCCAACCTTTAAGTAACATCCTGTAGGGATGGCTTCAGCTTACAAATAGGAAAGCAAATCACCTATGTTTTTCTTGTTGTGTTATCACGGTATGAACTTAGCATATAGAGCAACTGCGAAATGAGACATCCAAAAGAGGTTCCCAATAAAAAGAGATTCCAAATCTATGTAGCAGGATTTCACGTGTGTTTAACTACGCACGGGCTTTCAAGCCTTTTAAATGTGCATTCTCTTTTTTGAAAAGCGTTGGAAAACATCTGTTATGGTGTACCTGGCATAAGTTGCAAAAGGCGTTACGGTTGAGTGCAAATTCTTTAT